ATCCCACATAGGTGTAAAGTGTTCGCTATTTAAATTCCTGTTAATAAAATAAACTTAATATTTTTTACAACTTTTTTAAACTAAACCATTTAAAAAATATTTTTAATGTATCTGCTAAAATAGTAACAGTTATTTATGTGAATAGCTTACAATTTTTTAATTTGTTCAACTTTGTAAGACTTGTTCAATTATTGAAACTTTTCAATTTAATTTCTCTTTCAGTTTGTAATTTTTATGTTAATGCTAATTCCAACCTTAGGTATGTTAATTTAATCAACTCAAATTATAATATTAATATTGATGAAATCAGCGGTTTTCAAGTTTGTTTGGCTATGGAATCCTAAGTGTTTGAGCTTCTATTCTTCATTAGCATCTATGAATATACTAACAAAAAAAAAGACTGTTAGTTAATTAAAAATAATTAGTATGAGGAACTGATGAATGAAATATTTAGTATAATGAATTTGTTCTTGTTGCATACATATTTTTAAAATGAATAAAACAAGCTGAATTATGGTTTTCAAAATACTAAATCAGGGATGGGCAAACCTTTTTGGTCGAGGGCAAAAAAAGGAAGAAAAAAAGTTTGGTGGGCCAAGTAAAAACTTCTGAAATAGAAAAAAGATATGCAAGTTTTAATTCAGATATTTAATGAGATGAATGAAATTGCTATTTCATTTTCAAAAGTTATTTACATTGAGGTTCCAAGTTAGATGTACTAATTTTAATGTTCAAGGCTACATATTTGTCTGTTAGTCTACTTCCGAAATGATTTTTTCAAAGGTTTATAGTAGAAGACACTTGTTCACATATATAAGATGAAGCAAACATAGCACTGATTTTCTGGGCATGAAATATTAAATTTCGGAAACTAGCTTTTGGTAATGATTTGTAAAATCTAACTTTGGTATATTTAGAAACAACTGCTTCAGATGGCGCCAATCTACGGCTATTCTACCAAGAGCTTTTGCTTTCAACGTTTTACCAATTGAAGCTCCCTATTTCCATCAATTCATGTTTTGTAGAACAAAAATAGAGAAAGTAAAAAGGTCATCAATACTTTGTTAAAAAAGAACAAAAAATGGTTTTAAACAAAGTAGACAGGAAAATGGATGTATATTGCTTATATTTGTCACGGATCGGCAAGTTAAAATTCTATCCGCGGGCTGGATAAAATCTTCCGACGGGCCACAGTTGGCCCGCTGGCCGTAGTTTGCAAATGTAGTTTACAAACGTTGAAAATCAGAAAAACACACTTCTTTATTCTTGAATTTACTTTTTTTTTTATTTGAATTGAAAAGTTCGGCAAGATGTACTTCTTTAATTTTTATAAGTGTTCATTCTTTTCATAATTTATTCAATATACTGTTGTAGAAAGAAAAATATTATAGTAACTTTTAAAAAATATAATATATAAATATTATAGAAAGAAATATTTTTAAATTTTTTTTTAAACATTTTTATGTTCAATTTAAGCAAATTAAACTCATATAAACAACCGAAATGTTAAATAATTATTGGAATTATTGAAGTGTGTTAAATAATAATTTATTGATTGGATACAAATATAACTATAGCTGGTTGAAAAAAAATAAACTTAACTTTTGGAACCCTAGAGTTCTGCGGAGCACCTTTTGGGAACTGCTGGATGAAATAACTCATTATTTTAATTTTTTAATAATTTTGAAACTTGCATGAAGAATCCCTTGAAAATGCAATAATACATTATTACAAAAAATAGATCCTTATTTGGATAAAAATTTTATGCAAAAAAATTATTGATAAAATTTACCACTTACAAAATATGGCATGGAAATTATCAAGTTCTAGTTTGATTAATCTAATAATTTCAAATTATTTTATTTGCCTTTTATACGTTACCAAGACAGTATGTTTAGTTAACTGGAAACTTACTACTTATTTTACTTATTAAACAGTTAAATTTATTTTTTATACGTTAACAAGACATGTATAGAGATATTTACTTAACTAGAAACCAACTACCTGTTTTATTTATTAAACAGTTTATTTAATATATCTTTTATATGTTTCTAAGACATAGACAAGGTTACTTAACTGGAAGATATTTAAATGCAATTTTTAATCCTTTTAATTTAAATTGCGGAAATATATAATATTTTTAATCATATTATTTAGGTGATTGTGCATTCATAGTCGATTCCTGTGGTTGGAGGGAGATGGACACAAAAACGAGACCAGAGAGTCCCCCAATGTGGGGACGAGTTACTGGAGATGGGACAGTTCTCAGTCCTGATGGCCATACATCAATGGCTGGAGTCACTAGACAAGGTTACTTTCGTTTTAAATATAGTAGTTCTAGGTACAAACAAAACTCCGGCAGTGTTTTTAAAACATTCATCTAATTCTAATGAAATTCAAATATCAATAAAAGCATTTAATAGTTTCAAAAAATATATCTTTGTGCTTTATCAATCGGCGAAATATTTTTGAATTATTGCTAAACAAATTTCTCTTCTGCAACTAGCTATATCTACAATTATGTCGAATTTTAAATACGAACCATGGTGGGTCAGGGGATAGAGCGTTCGCCTCTCAATGAGATCAATTGCGTTCGGATCCGAGAGATGGCTGGTTGTTACGAATTCCGCACCGGGTTCGCACCATGCACAGTGCTGACGTAAAATATTCCCAGTCGTAGACAAATCATGGGTTAGAGTCCCCCTTGCCATCAAGCTTACCGTGGGAGGTTTCATCTAAAAGTTCTCGACGAAGGCAAATTTCTTCCAATACTTTATTCATGAGTTCCCTTGTCTTCTGGGTTGGGTTTAAAATTACAAGGGAACGGAGTTAAAGATTGTCAATCGTAAACCCAAACTTGAATCGGGTGTTCAACGACGGTTATAAAATATAAAAAGTATTTTAAATACAAATAAATATTCCTGATCGCAATGATTTTCCAAATTCCTTATTGTACACTGTTTTGTCTTTTGAAAAGGCATATTAACTTAAAAATAAGGGGAGAACATTAAATAAATAATCCCGAGAAACTGAAGGAGTTAAATACTACTAGATTGAAAACGTCTTTCTCTTCAAAAATACATAAAAGAAAAATAAGAGTTGAGAAGTCTCAAGCGCTACTGTTGCCGTTTACAAGTTCCTCATCACCTCTCTCCATAACGCTTGAAACTGCATTTTACCCTGATTTGTTCCTCTGAGCCACTGCGGTTTTTCCTGTTCTGTTATTCATATTTTTCTCTCTCAGCGACTGCGGTTTTTCTGGTTTTATTTCTCATCTATACTTTTCTATTTTTCGTTGGAGACTTTATGTGTTTTATTTTAAATCACTTTTGTTTCATCTCATTCACGTCTATCAAGTCTTGAGATTGGGCACCTGTTTTTGGGGTGCTTGAGACAGATTGACTATTATCTCCTATTTAGTATATACTTTTGAAGGGAATGAAGTTTTTGATCAGGAAAACGGGAGAACACAGTAAATGGTTTCTATTTAAAAGACCTGTTATCGGCATTAAAACCCTTTCATTTTTTCAGCTAGCACCTGTATATTTCTCTATTCTTCTTTAATTATTATTTATGACCCCTTTCTGTATGGAAATCAATCTTATAAATTCATCATTATCACAGAAAAATCGTTATTTTGAACCAAAATATCAGTAACTTGAGCCAAAATGTGATGCAAATTTTGGATGATGCAAAACCTTAGGAAGGTAGGTAATTTATTTACGTGACACTGGAAGTGTATAATGTGCTATTGGCGGCGGTCTAGGAGAACTCCTTGAGGATTATCCGAAGACAAGCCATCGTAATCTTCAGCTTTGATCCTCAGCAGCGAAGATCTCATTTGTGAGACCACTTCCTCGATTTAGACGTAGATCTAAAGGGGAAGGAAATTTTCCCCCCGCGTGTGGAATCCCTGTACTCATGGTACTGCTCAGCGACTAACCACAGGATTTTCGAGTCCACAGATTTTACGAGCACGCATATCGCATGTGCTCGGTGGGTCTTAGGATCGGAGTCGGGGATCGAACCCCAACCAATCCGGACCAAAGTCCGATTCTCTAACCCTTGGGTTACCACGGTTAGAATATTAAAATTGAACCATCTTTTTGCTTATGTTGAAACATATTATCATGTTATCCCTTTTAAGAATATGGTAAAGAAGGGTTCAACTGAGTACTGTTCCCCTTAGCACCATATTAAGGTTACAGCTAGTTTAAAAGGACTATATATAGTTCAACATTCCCCAAACATCCAAGCCATGTTCTATTTTTGAAATATCTTTCGATATCAAATGCCAAGCCATGTTTTATTTTTGAAATATCTTTCGATATCAAATGCCAAGCCATGTTCTAGTTTTGAATTATCTTTCGATATCAAACGCCAAGCAATGTTCTATTTTTGAAATATCTTTCGATATCAAATGCTACTATTTATAACAAAGTAATTTTCAGATTCTTACATGATGTTCAATACTGCCAGTTATCAGCACGCACCACTGGACAAGGGTCAACTAATCAGTCCTGAAATTCCTCACTCGAACTTCACCTACTGTTTCAGTTTCTGGACTTATATGTATTCGAGTACAGCCGGTGTGCCCATTGGAGGACTTGTAGTGAAGCTCAAAAAACATGATAATACGACAGTCAACTTGTGGAGATTAGATAATCATCAAGCATCACACTGGGTATTTTCACAAATGCCACTACCAGCTCATCTGAATGTTACCGAAAGGGTGAGTCACTAACAATCATAAATAGTCAGTTTTTTTAATCCAAAATGTATAACGAATTGAAGGGCTCTGCGCGCAATAATCATCTAGAATCACACCGAGTATTGTCACAATTGCCACTTCCTCCCTATCTGAATGTTACCGAAAGGGTGAGTGACTAACAATCATAAATAGTCAGTGTTTTAATCCAAATTGTGTGACGAATTGAAGGACTCTGCGCACACTAAAATGATAAGAAAATTTTTTAATGGTGATATTTTTACACTAAACTGTGGTGTTGTTTTTGGGTAAATACTTCAATTTCTATTAAATTACTGTGCAACATACAGACATATCTTATTGTTTGCATGGAAATCGGTATGTTCTTCATCAAAGACGTTCTCAGGACTAGTAGGAAAAAATTGTTCATCATTAGATTGTTCTAATCCTTGCAATTAAATTTTCTTCCTTCCGAACAGCATCAATGATGTATTAAGAATTTTTTTCCAATGCCCGCCTGGGGAATGACCTGTCATCATACAGGCACCTGCAGGGCAGACTTGTTTGGCCACTTTTTCAGGAGCATCATATTAGGTGGGCCAACGTTGCTACCATGGTAAGGACAGATAATGCAGAGAATCAAGGAATATTCGCGCCTTGCCCGGAATTCGAATCCAGAATCTTTTTGATGCAAGGCCCGTTCCCTGGCCTCTACACTGGCCAGTCGGCAAGAGATTCAAGATGATGTGTTAAGATCAAGGTTAAACAAGATTTATGTCCATTTGCACAAAACTGACATCTGTTGCAATTGTTGCAGTTGTTGAACTAAGTTGTGGCAAATAAATAACTTGGAAATTCCGTTCTCCCCAAGAATTATTACAAAGTGAAATCGGACCACTCAGAGCGAAAACGATTTTTGCTCGTCTTGAAATTTGTTTACTCTCAGAATCAGATCCTTGATCTTCAGACGAAAAAGATCCTAATTAATAAAACTAATATTTTTTAGGTAAAACTAACATACAAATTTGATTAACAGAGAAGACAGTTGATAAAACCTTTCACAGGTAGTCTGGAACCCCAAAATAATCCATTTACCACTGTGAACATTATGAAATAGCATTATGATTGACTCAGAGTGAGAGAATGCACGAACCTTTAGAACAGCCATGTGATTCGAACTTTGGCCGTTTGTGTTAGAAGTACTTAATTGAGTAATTTATAATGCTGTTGACTTGTGTAAGCTCTTAGGGAAAAAATAATATAAGAATAAATTTCACAAAAATTGCACAAAAATTGATCTTTATTCATGCATTTTAAAAATGACAGTTAAGAATTTTCTTAAATTTTGTGTTCGCAGTGCCAAGTTATTTAAAGGTTTCCCTTACAGATCTTAATGTCAATTAACTATTTAGATTAATTTCAATTTAATGTTCTTTCAAACTGTTCCTCAGTATTGTTTTCATAGAGCTATTTTAACTCCAATTAGAATATCTAGTAAATAACAGAACAATACATTGAAATCGTTTACTACCTACATATTAATTAAGAGTTTTCTCTCCTGAACAATGTAAAAATATGATTTATCATCAAATTTTAAGTTCAATCCTTTCACGAATTTTGTAAAAAGTATGAAATCTGTTATGAAAAATTGATTCTTGCAATATAAAATATGATTTTTGTAAAACATGTAAAATTTTCAGAAAATTCGCTTTTAGATTGTGTTTATTAACGAAAATTTAAGCACAATTTCAATGCACAGTTTGGGTTCATTGAACGAAGAAATTTTAAAATAAAAGCAACTATTGGATCGTAAAAACTTTTGCTTCATTGTTTTCTTAATATTTTTTCTTTGCAGTTAATCATTGAAGCTATTAAAGGAGGGGACACTAGAGCAGCTATCGCCGTGGATGACATTACCTTTACTACACCTCATAATTGTACTGGTAAGAATTATTTTTATTATTTCTTATTTTTAAATATTCGTGCACTCTATTGTCTAATAGTTTTTGAAGTCACAATTGCAAAATAGTGTTTTCTTTCCCTCAGTAACATTGAAATGATGAAATTGAATACTAATTAAATGTTTAATTTTTTTTTCTTCTGCACAAATAATCACAGAAAAGTTGTAAATGCATTTTTTAAAATGCCTTCAATATCCTAAAACAATTATTTAACTTTAGAAAAGCGTTTTTAATGCTTTAAACATAGAAATATTCTTTTTCTGCAATAACTATTAAAAATATTTACTTCTTTGACATGTTTCATAAATGGCACATTTGTTTAATAGCTAGAAAGGCGTTGTAAATGCATTGTGCTGCCATCTACTAATAAGATATCGAACTAATATATTAGAAAACAAGAGCAAGGCAAACTAATTTGGTAAAAATTGTTAATTACATTATTTCCCGGGTAAAGTAAACTTCACAGTTAACTTTTGCTAGATGCCTCTGTAACACATTCATTTCGCTGCTTCTCACTTTAGCCAAGTTCCGAACCTCGTTTTCCAGGATGAAATCTTACGCTATCTACATCAAATTCCTAAAAACTTCTTTTCTAAATATTTATGCGTTATCATTTAACAGGCATAAGAAATTGTATTGGTGACAATTGTTAAATATTTTCCTATGTAACTGTAACATTCTAAAACAATCTATTGTATTTACTTGATTATATTGTTGTAAAATTTTAGATTATATTTTTTACAAATTTAAAACGTTCCAGTTACCAAATTGAGACATTATATGCACATGAAGTATGTTAATTAATTCATGCTACTGACTTATTTCAAATACTAAGTTTAGTTTTTTTTTCCAGTTAAACCCGCAAAAGCTTCCGTTCATTTAGGTAAGTATTTTATTTCTGTATTGCGTATGCATATTTATTTAATTTTAGTTTCAAATATTTTTTTCAATTTAAATTATTTAAAGAAGTGGCTTAAAACGATAATAATAAACATAAATATTTATAAATTTAAATAAAAATATATTTTTGACTATAGCAGATTTTAAATTCAGCATTTTTTTTCTCAAGCAATTTTTTCAAAAATTTTAAAGGCTTGTTTTAAAGGCTGTTTAAAAAAAAAATTATAAATGGCTTAAATTTGTCAGAAAAGTGGCTTATGCTTCAAATCTTTTAATTTGTTTTCTCACTATTTTCAGGTGACTGTGCATTTGATCGAGAATTATGTGGTTGGCAAGTAGTGAATTCATCTGCAACTGGGCCAAAATGGCGCTTGCCAGCTGGCAACACTAAGCCCGCTACAGTCAAAGATCACACATACCAAGTTCTTGGTGGTAAAGCAATATTATTATATTTTCATTAGATTAATGCTTAAGATTATATGCTTAAAGTTTATTCAGGATAAAAGGAAACATTGTATGGTGTTTAGGGGAATCACTCTTTAGAAAAATTCATTGTTCAACCACCTTGCTCTAGAAAGACGTGCTGTGCACTTCAATATTCTTTTGTTACAAAATTGTTAAAAATTGTCCGTTTATGCCGACAGGCAAATATCACTGAAATTAAAAAAAATTTGATTTTAAAAAGAAAAAAGTATGATTATTTCATATTATATTACAAAAAAAATGTCAGATTTCTATAATGTTTCGTTCACGTATTGTTTCACAGTGAGTTGTAGTCAACAATTTAAGTAAGCGCATCTGTAAATTTTTTGCCAGTGATAACAACCAACTAAAAAAATCTTGAACTATCCTGAACAGTCAATCCATTATTACCGCCGTTCAACAGTCAATCCAATTTTGAGTTTACAAATATCAATGTAACTTAATAATTTTGTACTCAGCCCAAAAGACAAGGAACTAATGTAACAAGCAGTGGGACAAACTTGCCTTCGTGGAGGACTTTTTAGATGGAACTAACCTGCATTTGTGTTACATGTAGAGGAAAATCTAAAACACCTCCCATGGTTAGCCAGATTGCACGCGATTCTAACCTATGATCCGTCTATTGTTTGACAATTGTTACCCTAAGCAGTGTCCTAATTGATAAAATTTCCTCTCAATAATGAATAATTTGACAATTGTTTCCCTGTCTATTTATAAATATATCAGTTTTTGTTTAAAATCCTCTAGATCACGTATTTTTATTTTCCAGATGGATTCGTCTACATGGACATCTTTTCGGCTCCATCTCCAATAAGCAGTACATTGCAAAGTCCTACACTTTATGGGAACCCTAACATTACTTACTGTCTCAGCTTTTGGTACCTTGCCCTTGAAACTGAGGAGGGTGCTTCTCTGATGATAAAGGCTCTCTTTAACAATTCTCACCAGGAAGTATGGAAATTATCTAGGGACACTACTCTACAAACACATTACAATTTTGGACAGGTGAACATGACGATACCGGCAAACTTCACGGTAAGTAAAATGATAACATTCAACAGTTTAGCTCCTTCTCGGAGCATCTTGCACATTCTCACTTTATTGGTCATGTTTAATGTTTTTTAATTTATTTTAACCTCATGATTTCTATTTTTTTAGGTTGCCTTTGTTAGTACTGTCCAAAAATCAGGTTGGGTACTGGATGATATAAAATTTTCCGCTGCACGCATTTCAAATGTTACAACATGTGCATGTAAGTAATAAAAATGTTTTTGCATTAAGAGCTTTTTATAGATGGTTAGTTAAAACTGTTTAAGGTACAGTTAACTTTATTTCACAGGAATTAGTAAAGAAATAATTATTTTAGATACAACTTATTTTTTTCAGATATTCTAACAGTGTTTTAAAAAGACACAGATTTCCTAAATCAATTTTTTTTTAAAAATCTGTGTAAATAACTAAGATATTATTACAGTACTTTTTAGGAAAAATATAATGCACTTACGAAAATCTTTTAGTTTACTAATTTCGTTAAAACATGTTCCTTATCGGAACTCTGACTCTAAATAAGCAGGCCTGCATCGCACTGTGGGCCAGAGGACTATGATCTTTGGCCAAAAGTCAAAAAGTAAATTTTCAACTAAAATATGTGTAGGCAGTTTTAATATAGCCTAAATTAGGTATTCATAATCATTCCAAACATTATAATTTACTTTTTGGATCGACGAGAGTAGGTACAATGTAATAAAAAATATATTAAAAATTTTTTTTAAATGTAACTTTTAAATTTTTATTTCAGAAATATATATTGAAATTTCACTTTACTGTTACATTTTTATCAGAGTAATTAGCCTGAAATTATAGTACATTTTTTCAATTTGTTGGATTAGTTAATACTCTTGACAAACTTATAGTTTATATCTTATCATTTGACATTTTACAATGTTTGAATGACTTTCGAAAATTAGTTCCAAAAAGTTCCACGAGGTAATTAGTTAAACTTATTTTTGTTGTCTTCTTTGATGTTTCTTCTTTCGAAAAAACCTGCCCCATTTTGCTCGTATTGCGAAGGTGGACTAAATATACCGAAAAACAAAAGTAATGTTTTTTCTTCTTCATATTTTCGCGTTATTTTGTAATTATCCCTCGTTATTTTGTAATAATGCTTCAGAAATATAATTTGCTTTTCATTTTTAATATAAAATTACGAAAATTATTATATTTTCATTGCTATATTTAATTATTTAAACGTACTATATTATTTTCTTATTTTTGCCCGCCATATTTCAGCCGCCATTTTGCTTTTTTTTGGGTATTTTTAGTGTATTTCAAAATTTCAACTCTGAATTCAATTTACCTGCACACAAAAATCCCTAAATTTTGAAACAAATTTTATCGAAATACTAATTTTGGCCACGAAACCTTGAATGCTGGCCCACTGTGCATCGTGATCCATGAAGTGTCATAAAATAATCATAAAATGTTTCATTACGTTGGTAAGTTCGTCAAATATACCACATTGTAGCGGATTCCGTTTTTAAAATTCGACTATTTAACAAAATTGTTATCATTAAAACGAGCGTAAAAACTTCTCATCCACGTTTCTTAAAAAGGAGGTATATCTTATTATTTAAATGTGATGCGTCAGATTAATTAAAGATTAGCTTTTTAATTATTACAGTATCGCTTTCAAATAGTAGAACTTTAAATGGCGCAAAAATATTTAATATTTTTAAAATTGCTTTTGATTTTTCATTTTTATATGTTAATACTCTTAGAAATCTTCGAATATTTAGTAATTTGCATACACTCTTTGCTACGATATATTCAACGATTTTGTTACAAAATTCATTGTACGTACATTTCTAATTTAGAGATGGCAATGTTGAAAATATAAGCTTGCCAGCTTCTGAAATTGGATAATCGATAGTATAGATTCTAAAACGATATTAGAAAATTCATTTCTTTAACTTTCCCATTTAATATTCTGAGTATTAAAATCCCTGGCGTCGATTCTCTGTTAGAAACAATGAGTTTTCGATGAATGTTCACTTGAAAACTTTCTGAAAGTTTAGTTTTGAGTTTTGAGCCATGATGGCTCAGGGGATTGAGCGTTCGCTTTCCAATGAGGAGAACCGGGTTCAAATCCCGGCGATGGTTGGTCGATACGAATTCTGCATCCGGCTTGCCCGGACCACAGGGACTTGAAATATCCTCAGTGGTAGACGGATCATGGGTTAGAGTCCCCCTGTCGTCAAGCTAACCGTGGGGTTAGCTTGACGACAGGTTCTCGTGGTCTTCTTCTCAATGTAACGCAAATGCTGGTTAGTTCCATCAAAAAGTCCTCCACGAAGGCGAATTTCTCTCAACACTTGATCCAGGAGTTCCCTTGTCATCTGGATTGGTTCAAAATTACAAGGCTACGTAGTTGAACATTAGTAGTCGTAAACCCAAAAATTGGTCGACTGTTCAACGACGGTTATAAAATAAATTAAAATAGTTAAGTTTTTATCAGGACTTTGATGAGCTTCTGAATATAGATAATTATTATGCGCATTAAAAAGATTTCAAAAAATCAAATACTGATATCTTTATTGTTTCTCTTATAGAAAATGCACTTTGCAATAAATTTTTCAAGGCTCATAAAATAATAAGCTTTACATTGCCGTTACTGCAATTTAGGCTAATGCAATGATAACGATAAGTAGTTAAATATCGATAATTTTAATCGATGTATCGTTGCATTAAAGTTCCGATTTCTCCTATTAAAAGTTTCTGATATTAACTGGACATTGCTTTTTGTTTTTTAACAATAAGCTATTAATTTTGAAGTGCATTTGACCAATTTGTGTTCATATATTATTTTCTTTTCCAGTGAGACCACCTAGAGCGAAAATTGAATGAAACGGAAAAACTCCTAGAGTTCAAGTTCTTCAAATTAAAATTTGTCCTGGAGAAATGGACAAAAGTACTCTGAAGAAAGTTTAGGAAAAATTTAAAAACATCATTAATTCCAGAAGAAGAACTGAAATGTGTCGCAATCTTAACACTTGGACAAATACATTCTACGCACATCAAATCATTTAAATCTGCAATTGTTTGCATCCTCTCTTTCACGCTTATAGCTCTCCATTTTCATTTCATTTTTTATTATGAAAACAATTTGATATTTTATGTTTTATAAGAAGATTGATTGCGTTGAGTCAAGAAAATTACGTAGATGAAAGCATTTTCAAAAATGATTGAGTTTAGTACCCAATACAAATTTAAATAGTTCAAAAGGACTATTATGTTTGTACAAGGTGTTCTGTAATCATTAATCTTAATGTACATTTTTAGAATCTTTAGTCAAAAATGGAGACAAATTAATACTTAGTCATAAACTATTTTTAAAGTGAGGATAAACAAAATCATACGAATCGCTACTTAGAAAGAAAGGAATTAAAACCTCAAAATCTGTTTGACTGACTAATGAAACAGAGATCTAAAATTCAATTATTCGGAACACCTCTAAGTTTCATCAGGCATCAGACTGGTTCCCTCTTTTAATTTCTGCTTGTAAGTCTTATTCTGCCTTCCTCATCAGCGATTCAACGAAATTTGATTGTGTTTTTGCTTTTTCCTCGTCAAAATATAAATTTCAAGCCGCAAATAACCATATATTTTTACTTTAATTTTGACGTAGATTCTTATAATATACAGGGTTATTCATAATTCCCTCGGCCTGTAAACGCCATTTTTCTTTACTACAACTGACTTTAGTGGTACATGTTACTGCCATCTACCGGCAACTTCTTAAATTAAAACTTGAATACTTTCGGAATAATTTCATATGTTCTTTTTTGCCATATTCGTCTTCGTTTTTTTACTATAACGCTTCGAAACCCCGGAGGGAATTATGAATAACCTTGTATATGAGGAGCAGTCATTTCGGAATACCCTGTATATTACACTGATTTTTTTAATGTACCCTTACTGATTCAAATAAAAATAACACCCAGAACATTATAAAGCTATATCCGGTTTACATATGTGTTTAAGTCTTATTCAAGCACAAGTTGTTTTGTATACTGAAATGATGTATATAAATATAACAATGACAAGGAGTATTTTTCCCGGTATATTTCATAGTATTTGTTTCAATTTTAACATGTATTTGTAATTTATTTGAAAATATTTTTAATAAAAAATGTAAAAAAAGAAGCATGCATGTAGTTTTGATTTATAAAATATTAATGAAAACGCTCAAATTCTTTTAGCATTTTAATTACCAATAGACATTTAGAACATCTAATCTTCTTTTGTACTTATAAGTTTTTAAAGTATTTGTTACAAATGAAGTGAAAACAGAGATATGCATATAGGGCACAATTTAATACTTAAAATGAGAAAAAAAAGCTTTATCAGACTCTGACGAATCTGAATCGAGGTTATTATAAGGTCCCTGTGAAGCGGTTTTAAAACCAACAAAATCAGTTGATTTGACAGAAAAAATAAAAACATTGCGGGTAAACGCTTTACATATTATGTCAACATGTAAACGGATTTTCGTAAATGATAATCCAACTAACATGGAAATGTTCTGCGAATGCACGTTATTTAGATAATGTTGACTTCTTGTTTAAATAACAAAACTGGATAAAATAGTTTGATAATTTTGAATCTGTTATTGTTTATTTTTTAATTTGATTTCCTCCTGAGAAACTTTTTTTTTCCTTTTCAGAAACATTTAGCTTAGCATTAGATGCAATTCTAACAAAGTTTATTTTGTTATCTTAATTAAGTTTTACAGATTTTTTTATTTTCCTGTTTTGCGTTTAGCGGGAAAAAGCAGCATTATGTTCTTTTGTTGCTTTAACATTCAGTTCAAAACTTCAAGTATAGTTTCATAACATAAGATAGCATATTAGACTACATTAACGGTATCAAAACGTTTTATTAAACTCTTACAAAAACTATAAATAATTATAAAAAAATGAAATTCTTTTACAACGCAAAAAACTAAAACATTATGTGATGCAGATATTCATTAATAGATTCAAATAGTTAAAGATTGCGACTCTATGACTGTTTTTCTTTTATTCTTTTCTTTTTTCTGTTTAAAAAACCCAAATAGTCAAGTCAAAGGGCTTATTTAACTGATAAGCAGATGCGTTTCTTTGTTAGATTGCAGTTCTGTTTTAACTAAATCGGCGATGATGTAGCATTTTACATTTCTTGTGAGTGTAAAGGTAAAATATATTTTCGTGACGCAATTTAAATATTAAGTAAATAATTTAAAATTGGTTTTCATATCTATTTGGAAAAGCGTTAATTTCCAGAGATTTCTGCAAGGAAAAAATATCAATCTTATGTGAATTTTCCAACGTTAAAAAGCTTGGTTAATGAAATTTTGGTACAATATCGATATTGAAACATAATGGCATATTAAGGCATAATTTATTTGACTAAGTATTATGTGAGACCAATCTTGACACTTTTGAAAAGCTAATATGGCGTAACTACCACTAAAAATATTAAATACCAAATGAATAGCATATAAAACTTATTATCCTTTCATTACATCGTATGATAGCATATTTTGATAGATGAAGGTTGACATAGTGAAAATTAATATATGCCATTATTGGTGATGATTGGACAGGATTGAGCATGTCAACATCGATAGATGGGTCTACATTGAACATTTGATTTGCTTTTCATAATAGCTCTCAAAAATCCGGTGAATTAAATAAAATTCTTCCGGCCTATAAAGAAAAAACAAAGAATGAATAAAAGAATAACATATATAATTACAAATTAAATAATTTAAATTAATTTTAACAGCATAAATCAGGTTATCGTTTTCGTTCATTGAATTCTGTCAAAATTAAAACTTTGGAAGGCGAGTAATGGGGCGTTACTACCACTATAAACATTAAATACTAAATCACTAGTATCTAACGCATGTTAACTTATTATATGAAGTGGTAATTTTTGGATAGATGACATAATAAATAATAAAAAATCCCATTATTGGTGATCACCTCACGTGACATGAGCTTGTCCACATTGTACAATTGATTTGCTCAGAACATAGTGCTCAAATATAATATAATTCCGTCCAATAAAGAAATGGGAAAGAAATAATAAAAAAATATCTTAATGGATGATAAAATAAATAAAAATTAATAGCATATATCAACTTAGTATTCGTTCATTGAATTCTATTTCAGATCGAATTCTGGAAGGGGAGAAATATGGCGTATCTACCACTAAAGTTATAAAATACCAAATAACTAGTGTTTAAGACATATTTACATAATTCTTCATTGAAGAAACTTTTGTTAGACGAAAGTTGACAGAGTCCATAATAACATATCCCATTACTTTCTATTGTGTGGTGTTTTAACAACAATTTAAGAAGGTTACAATTATTGACTATTGTGAAGGTAAGAATAGTTTTGTTGCTTTTTTTTAAGTAACATGCAAAATGATTATTTAGAAACTTGCATGGTATAGTGAAAACGTAAATGATATTCAATATTTTAATACTGCATCATAAAAAAATTGAATTTAAAATATATTCTGTCTAGTCAGAATTACTACTCAGATAAAGAAAGCTGACATAAAGTTGTCTTATCTAATTTTTGAGATTCTTTGGAAAGTTTTATTAGGATTTGGTATTTTAAGAACTTAGAATATTTGTTGTGACACATTTTTAATCTACTTTAGTTAAGTACTTGTGTCAGGCATCAAAAGCGAGACTGATAAAAGTAAGAGAAATAATGAAACATGCAACGTAAAATATCAAAAACGTAAAATGAAAAATACAAATTTAGAGAACGAACGAGACTGGCTTTTGTTCGAAGAGGTTGTAAATTGTTTTGAATGTACTGAAAAATGTGGTTCTAACAAATGAATACGTTTTTTTCAATTGTCTTTTCGATTTTCCAATAGAATTAAGTCAAATTTTGAATTAAATCATTGGCGATTCAGCTAGTTTAGACCCAGACCGCCCGGCAGTTCCCTGACAACTTGTTTGCAATTTTATCTTTTTCAGTGAGTTAATTTGGTTATTTCTGATTAACTGTTTGACGAAAAGCTTTAGTGGTAGAATATGTTAATTGTCGGTTTTTGATGACAAAAATATAAAGTTATCAAAATGCAAATTTCTTAAATCATTTATTTAAAATGTATTTTGTGGTGCTGAAAATTGTTTAAGTGCTTCATGAAAAAACTAGAGATTAATGTGTTTATTGGTAGTTATAAATAAAAATCTGTGTCTATGTTGTGGGTCCCATAGATTCCAATGTCTGTTTTAAAGTTGATGACTGTTATTAGAGCATAGAAAATAATGAAAAGAATGATGTCTATGTAACAGTTAAAAACAGCTTTTGTAGTATTATAAAAAAATATCTTCAGCACTGCATAGTTTATACATCAGGATTGTCATTGTTTTACTCATTGTTTTAGCCATTTAGTTTTTTACTCATCTATAATATAAAATAGTAAATAAACCTGAAGTCAATTTCAATTAACGAATGATTTCTGTTTAAAGATTTAGTATGTTAAAAACGTGTGTATTTTTAAGGGTAGATTTAAGTTTTTGTTTAATCTGAATTGATTATTTTATCGGGAAAAAATTTTGTTATAATCACGTCAATTAGCGAACTAATTTGCGTTTGAGCAATAACACCCAGCTCAAAATTCCTTCTGTTTTAAATTTAACCCAGAAGATATGTGAACTTGTAAAATCAAAATTCTTTTTTTGCGTGTGAAATGAGGATGAACTCGGAAAGTTTCTCATGGTTAGTCCGGTCATAGTGTCACCATTGCTCGATTTTATCTTCCACGGGCAAAATTAATTTCAGAAATATTGTACAACTACAACATTGCTGAAGAAGTATACGAAACAATTTGTAACAGCGAAGAATGGAACTTGAATTACTAAAGTTCTTTAGTTTTTTGTAGAGTAGTTTATTTTTGTAGAATTCTTTAGTTTTAGTTTTGAAATATTTAATTTCTGAATATGATGCCTGTTTTTTTTAAAAATAATTGATGTCCAAATTTTCTTTTGTGGAGAACATTTAGTATTCAGTGTTCAGATTTATTGAATAAGTTCATGATCTTTCTCACTTTGAGAACTTGACTGTTTTATTTGTTTAGTTTTCTTCGACCATTTTAATATCTTTTTTTCATTCCATTTTCTTATATTTAAATAGGGAAAACATTTTTAATTTCATATCGTTAATTTTTACTATTTTCGCAAATAAATAAAATTAAAAAAAACTGCAATTTGTTTTAAATTAATAAATAAATAAAGACTGGCATAAATAATAAATAAATAAAGGCATTTTCGTAAATAACTATTTTTCTAAAGAAGGGGTTTGTAAGCAAACGAACTTTTTATTCGATTTCAAAAATATGGGCAAATTACCTTGTAAGCTAAAGTAAGGATGCTTTTTTTCAATTATCTTTAGTTCATAGTAGTTTAGACATGAAATATTTTTCACAATTTTTTTGTGAAAATTCTCCTACAATCAAGCAAGTCGGGGGAAGTTTTCGTGCACCATGTAGTGCAAATGCCGGTTTGTTCTCAAAAAAGTTTTTCTCGAAGGCGATCCCCAATCCTTGATCCAGGAGTTTCATTGTCTTCTGGTTTGGGTTCAAACTTACGAGGCTGCAAAGAGGTGAACCAAGATTCGATCCCGGCGATGGCTGGTCGATACGAATTCCGCATCCGTCTTGCACCAACCACAGTGCTGACGTGAAATATCCTCAGTGGTAGACGGATCATGGGTAAGAGTTTCCCTAGCCGTCAGGCAGGCTAACCGTGGGAGATTCTCGTGGTCTTCCTCTCCATGTAACGCAAATGCGGGTTAGCTCCATCACAAAAAGTCTTCCACGAAGGCAAATTTCTCTCAATACTCGATCCAGGAGTTCCCTTGTCTTCTGGATTGGGTTTAAAGCTACGGCGTTGAACATTAGTTGTCGTAAACCCATAAAATTGGGTCGGCTTCTCAACGACGGTTATAAGAAAAAAAATCTATCTAACCAACGAGCACACACTTGTTTAATACAAGGTTTACGGGACTCGTCATTTTGACCCATTTCGAATTTTATAAGGAAAATTACAAAACCCGTTTGCTTTTTATTTTATCTCTTGTAATGTCTTTTATCCATTGATCGAGGTAAATATATAGATATTGAAGTCTATTTTCTTCAAAAGCTTTGAAATATTGAAATTCTCTTTGTGGTATACCTATCTCTATGGATATGTGTCAATTTGACGCGATCGTAATTTAGACAACATTTTGAGTAAACGTGCAAATATCACATCAATGATAAATAGGAATGTACCGGCAATACTTCGATCCGTTATCCGATATCGTTAACTCAAATGAAACAAGCGATAAACAACTGTAGCAGATAAGCAATAATAGAAAGAACAAACGCAGAATGTCAATTGATTTGAAGGTTTCAGTTGCTTAGTTCGAGTATTGAAAAATAAAATACTAGAATATTTTTTGAATTATTAATATCTCATATTTTCGTTTTTTTCTTATAGTATATAATTACATTGCTTTCTAAGTGCTGTTATATGTATTCGTTCATACGTCAAATTGACGCGTGTTCGTAGAGATAGGTATACAAGAAACGTTCGTAAACCAAGTGTTAATGTTCCCTTCCAGAAAGAAGGGAACATTAGAATTCAGAAAAATACAGAAATAACCTTAATTCTGGATATAGAATGTAATAAAAAGAATATTGAGCATTATTGTTCATAATTGCTGTATACAAAAGATCATTGCAAAACTTTGCCATAGATTAGTCAAAGAAAAACACTGTAATTTTATTCAAAAGCAGGTTTATTAGGAATGTAAAAATATTGATGGCATATTAAACTTGCTTGTACAACATTGTTTCTCATCCATTTTATACATTAATTCTCATTAAATTTGGCATTACTTAAAATTTTTATTTGAATTGCATTAGTTCTGTATTCGAATAATAAGATTTACATGAAACAACCATAATTCTGCATATAATGATTTCAATATTAATAAAAAATTAAAATCAGTATTTAACATTCACCACATTTCATAAGTTCAAATTGGTAGTTTAACTCACACATAATAAAAAGAACTTATAACATATCTGAATCAATAGCAAGAAATATGTACATTATAAAAACTATTGTAATAAAATGCTTTAACTATAACACTTTGTACAGTTTCGCCGCCATTGACTCTGTATAACAGCGCATGATTCAAAAGGTGCACTTGAAAAATGACATAAGCTTGAGCTGCATTAGTTCAGTTTTTACACGTGAATATGTTTTAATGGTCACTTAGGATGAAATCTTTAAATTTCTTGAACCTAAAGACATATTTGAGTTATTGAAGCCTTAAAACAGGTACTTAAGGTACTTAAACCTTTTGGCAGACATCGGGTACTTCGACTTCTGCTTCGTGATCTTTGCTCTTCCTCCTAACTTCGTGGATGATTCTGTGTTCTTTTTGTCTCATGAATTCTTTGGTTGAATCGTCTTTGGATGGCAAACAATGGAATGATATTTTCTTTTTGGACAAACTCCTGGCTTTGCAGTGAGAGCTACATTCTGCAACGGGCTCAGACGAGAAGCAAGATTGAGGGATCTTGCCAGTTGAGAGTTCGACCACTTTGGTTCTTAGTTTAGTGCATCCAAATCCGCCTGTAAAAAATGATAACTATCATTTCAGGAACGTTGGAACACTTTAGTCAAGAAGTTGTATTTATTGATGACCTTATTCTAGATACTATACTAGATACTATTTTGAAATTAGTTTAATTGACTTAGAGTAATCAATGTTGTCAAAATGCTTCAGCTTATAGACCTGATTAGTTTAGGATTGCTGCAAAAATCTAAATAAATGCTAATGGAAAAAATTGATTTTAAAAATAGAAACTTTATGTTTTCATTTATGTGAAACAAGTAAGTTTTCTTGTTTCTTCTAAAAAAACCACTGAATTCAATAATAAGTGTTTTATTGCATTTCATTTGTGCCTGTTATCTTGTTTGATTTTAAGGAAATTCCGATTTTTGCCATCTTGATAATTTATTTTAGACATGTTTAGTTCTAATTCATTTTACGTCGCACTAGAGCTGCACAATGGGCTATTGCCCACGGCTTAGACATCTTTAGATATTGTCTCTCCGAATTTGCGGCTTTGCAGAGTGGTCTATGTTTCATCGGCTAAAATATCTAATATATATAATTCTCTTACGTGGCTCCCAAATTTTGGCTGTATTTCTTTTCCGCCGGTGGCAACGTTTGCTTTGTTTTGTTTACGTTACTATTTCTCTTACACGGCGAATCGACCAATGATTGCCGCTAAAAATGTCACACGCCAAATCTTGCTGAGGTGGCTCAACATATAGCACTTTTAAAAACGGAAACTGAAATAACCAGAGAGCATCAGCTGCGGCAATCTCATACTATTGAGCTAGGCAGAAATGGGTAGTCTTTGTCGATAGATCTAAATTTTAGTATTTTGTCGAAAGCGCTTTTTTTCACGAATTTATATATTACGAATTTATTTGACGATTTTTGATTGATATCACGAATTATACTATAGCACATTTCTAATAGGTTTAGCGAATTGTATGTCATTTATTTGAATTCAAATTTATTTTAATGACTTAATATTTACTAAAAAGATGTAATTCTTTTTTTGAAAAAAGTTTTTATATAGATTTAAATGATTGTTTGAATTCTTAGAATTTTGTGCATTTGTAATGTACCTAAGCTAGTAGCGAGCGAAGCGAGCTTGGTTTGCAAAGCAAACCATATAAGATTGCGTAGCAATTTTCGGGGGTTGGTCAGCGTTAGCGAGCAGGGGGCGCAGCCCACTAGTTAAAGCTAATTCCCTAATATCTACATATCTAGGAAAATAATAAAAAATCGGGTCCAAAAGGTTGGCTTATTTAAGACTTATAGCACGCCTAAATAATAAAACATTAAAAAATAGTGCCTCAATAATTTTGTCAAACTTTCGACCAGTTGTAGATCCCATAATCTTGCAAAATATTTTATCTCTCTGAATTTCAAACCACTGGGAATATAAAAATGGCTTTTATGCATATGAAATAAGTAAATCTTAGAGTTTTTGAGTTTAGATGCCTGCTATCTTTTTCAGCCTTCAAAACAAAAGATCTTGCGAAAATATTTTTATAAACTAATTTATATTTGAATTTCTTAAACATATGTTTAATAAAATTCATGTTTATAATAATTAACAGTATTGTAACTAGCTGGAATATGTTAAATATTAGTTACTAACTGCGTAAGAAATAATTGAATGCAATAAAAAGTAAGTAAAATACACGCGTGCATAAGCAAACTTTTTTAAGTAGGAATTTTCAAATATCTAGGTCCTTTTCCTTTTAAAATCTTCAATTATAAATAGCTAAATTTTGTAGTTTCAAGTTTAATAAAATAAATAAGATGAATGGATTATTAAAGAATAATAATTTTACCTTCGGTTGGGCACTTTGGCTCTATTTTAGGAACAGAACAAGTGTCAGAAGGAATACTGTAAGCATATGCGTGGGCATCATCATTCTCAAAGAAACAGCCTTTGTCATCTGTATACCCATCGTACTTCTGACCGTTGTAGTTGCCGCAAAGTCCACACAGTTTGTTTCTGTAGTACGGTGATACTTGTACTATGATTCCGAAGCCGTTGTACTCGATGATGAGGCCGTATTTTTCGGAATGAAGAGCGTAGTATACGTCCCTTTTTGTAACGTAGAAGAGGGGTGGATGTTGGTGTTCTCCTTCACGGTGCAAGTATGGCTCGGTGTTGGTGACTGACACTCTTTTGCCATCGACTCGGATGATAATGTCTGAATCGTCGGATACTGGGAGAGCTTCGATCTTGTGCTTGCCCAAAAACACCTTTACAGCCTGAAACACATTAAAAAAATGTGTTCATACATAGAAATAGAAAAAGAATAATTTTGAAAAATGCATTTCGCATGGTTTTAATTTTCTTTGAAGATACTCAAAAAGAGCTGTATCAATTTATGCAAGACATGATATGCAGTGAGCATGGGCATATTATTTTTTAGAAAATATGCACAGTGCAACAAGCTGTAGTATTTTATTTATGTCGCACTAGAGCTTCACAATGGGATATGTAAGACTACTTTTGGAATTAAACCTTCTTATATCTCCGAAGAGGTATTTCTCTTCGGAGATACAAGAAGTGTAACAAGCTGTAACTATCACGCTTTATTTGAAGATACGACAATGCAATATTTTTTGAAGATATGAGCAATGCAACATGCAAGGACTTTATTTTCCCTCGTAGGTTCTACTAACAGAACAAGCATTTTTTTTAAAAAAAAATTCTATAAAAACATGAACACAGCTTTGAACATGAATTTTCGTTATTAAATTAATGAGAAGGAATAATGTATTGAGTAATTAATAAAACGAATAACGTCGTCTGTGGAACAATCAAGCATTATAATTTGTAAAACAGCTTAAGATATTTTACAAATATGTATAAAACTATATATATATATATATAATTCAGAGAATTAATTCAATTTCATAATGATTAAATTTCAACCTATAACTTCAAAAACCCATAGGTTTCACCAATCCATAACTTAAGCAAACCATAAATTTCTCTGACCCATAGCATAGTTCTAGGGACATTATTCTGCTTTATAAAAATCTTATTTTCTTGTATTTAAAAAGTGTAGAAAGAAAATATTAGTTATTAAGTCGAAAACAGAAAAATATTTTTGAGTTAGAAACTTACCTTTTTATACCTTGGATGAGTGATTTTAGTTGCTAGGACGGTGAAGAATTCTTTAGGAGAGCAATCTCTTGTAAGAACTTTGTAACAATCAATAGGTGGCAGTGAGTACTCATAACGATCAAAAGTTACAACGTTATTTCCTTCTAACTTGCAGTTCACTGTTATAAAGTAAAAAATAGTAGATAAAGTAAAAAACAAAACAATGTTACATGATTGAAAAAAAATTTTTTTTTTCATAGTGGAAATGAATGCAAGCGTATTTTCATTTGCTTCAGTTTTCTCTGGTTGATTTGCTTAATATCACATTTTCTTGTGGAAAAAAATTTTGAATTAGGAGTTATCAAACTTATCTAAGTCATGGCACCCTTATAAACACCCCTTTCAAGTTTTATTTTGCTTTATTATTTAACTATGGCAGATATTCAAAATATTTTCCTACTATAGATTGCTTCTCTTTTAGCGGAAACCGGACTTAAAAAATCAAGTTCATTAGCAATTACGATCATATTAACCGATGAAAGACTGCAAAGCGTTTCTCATCTTTTCTTTAACCAGCATAACTTTTAAAAATAGATTTATCTCAGAGATTTAAATTTGCTGAACTGGAATGGCATTTTAATTAACTCCTTAACGATCGGTTAATTTTCAAGAAAACAGTCATAATAGTGAAAAATTTTTTGTCATATATCACAAATACACGTATTTGATTAATGCTGACATCTAGTTTAATATAAACTAACTATCTATAATTACCTTAAAAATATCCTGGTACAGCCATCTGGTGCGCAAAATTAGAAATAAAAGGATTTCCGGGCAAAAGAAATGAATTAGTTTCATTCTTATTGGAGCGTTACTACTGAACACTCCAGCCCGAAAATATCACGAGAGCGAGAAATAGAGGACGAAACCTCACCCCGTAATTTTCACGGGAGCGAGAAGGAAGGGGTTAATGCTGAACTTGTTTTCGATCTATGCAAATGCTTAAAATGAAGCTAAATTTTGGTATTCGTTTAACTGAAAATATAAAAAAGCTGTTATAAACTTTGAGAATGGTTATAAAAAATTGGATTGCAAAGTTCAAACTAAAAGAATATATTATATTTGAAATTTCGATAAGAATGGGACATACTACTGATCTTTTCCTTTAGCATTTCACTTATTTAATAAATAATTGAAATATTAAATTAATTATATATTATTATGTAGATATCAATATAACAACAAATTTCAAAAATCCTAACTTGTTAAGAGTTCCAACTCTCAGAATCCCTGTAACCTTTTAACGGAACTCTAGGGTTCCACTGTACACCTTTTTAGATCCGTTGATCAATGATGTAATACTATATACTATTTAAATACTTATAAATTATGTTCATAAGATTTTTAAAACTAATCCATTGAAATGAGTCGTAAATTTTAAACACGATTGAATTGAAAAATTCGGTTGATTTTGCATTTTTATTAAACATTTTAACAATCCTTTCAATTATAACGAATAATTTTATTCTTTGAATCTAAAAAACATTTTATTTTCCCCAACTTTAACTAATTGTTCATCTTCCAATTGTTTAATTGAAGCTAATTGTTTGATTTTCATGCTTTTGGAAGCATGTGTGTGCTTAGTGCGACAGGTGAATTAGCTGTTCACGGCATAGTGTTCGAATCAATCACAGTTAAAGTGTTCATAATTTTGACTGACCAAAAAAAAAAAAATCACATTATCCGGTAAAGTTTATACTTCATATGAAGTCGGTAAAAAACAGAGAAAACCTCTTGCATTTAAGATTAAAATTTGATAGTCATTTAAGAAAAAAACTCTTAGCATTGAATAGAAATATGAGGACACCTCAGGGCATTTTCTTGGCCTTAGTTTTAATGAATGTGAAGTATGATTAAATTATAAAAAAAAATTTAAATTGAAAATGAATTTGATGCAGCAGATTAGTTGAATTAAAAATACGAAAAAATTATAAATACTCCTTTTTGTTAATTAAATAATAAATTCGCAATTTAAGTGAAATTTCAAAAAACTTACTTTTACTCAAAGAAAAATACGCAAAAAATACAAAATTTAGCTTTTTTTTCTCTTTTTTTTTTGCAAATTGAAAACTACTATTATTATCTAGTATATAGTTTGAATAAAAAGTTACGAATTGATTTCACCGTCACTAAAGGAAATCTTGATAATTGCAGACATATTTTTTAGTTTTTTTAGTTTATCTAATTATACCATACAAGTTCCTGAGTAAATTTACCTTCATTGCACTAGTTCTAGACAGCTTCTTATATTTTTTTTCATAAACTAAATATTATATAATCTTGCATACCTGTTTGAATTGATCTCCAAATTGAATTTACCTTTATTGAACGAGTTTGTGTGAACTTTTCGACTACTTTTTATCAATAAAAGGTTGCTATTATTGATGTTCCAAATTGGATTTACCATCAATGTACGAAAACTTGACAGCTTTGATAATTTTTATGGCAGATTAAAAATTGCTATAATCTAAAATGTGATTTGGTTGAAGTTCGAAATTGATCTTGCATTTTCAAACTAATTCTCGACATTTCCGTTCGCTTTTAATTCCTTTTTTTCCGTAAATTTAAAATTACTCATTATGTAGTAGACGGTTTGAATGAAGTTCCGAATTAATTTACTTTCACAAAACAAAGTCCTGGCAATTTCCGTTCATTTTTGTTTCCCTTTTTCCGTAAATTACTATAATCTAGCATACGGTTGGAATAATGCTTCGAATTAATTTACCTTGACTAAACACGTTCATGACAATTTTGTTTCTTTTTCTTTCGTAAACTTAAACTTTATTATATAAGTTCCCAAATTGAATTTACCTTCACTGAAAGAGTTCTTTTTCTATAAATTAAAAATTACTCATCATATAATATACGGTTTGAATGAAGTTCTGAATTAATTTACTTTCACAAAACAAACTCGTGGCAATTTCCGTTCATTTTCGTTTCCTTTTTTCCGTAGATTACTATAATCTAGCATATGGTTGGAATAATACTTCGAATTAATTTACCTTCACAAAACACGTTCATGACAATTTTGTTTCTTTTTCTTTTGTGAACTTAAACTTTATTATATAAGTTCCCAAATTGAATTTATCTTCACTGAAAGAGTTCTTTTTCTATAAATTAAAAATTACTCATCATATAATATACGGTTTGAATGAAGTTCCGAATTAATTTACTTTCACAAAACAAACTCGTGGCAATTTCCGTTCATTTTTGTTTCCCTTTTTCCGTAGATTACTATAATCTAGCATACGGTTGGAATAAAGCTTCGAATTAATTTACCTTCACAAAACACGTTCATGACAATTTTGTTTCTTTTTCTTTTGTAAACTTAAACTTTATTATATAAGTTCCCAAATTGAATTTACCTTCACTGAAAGAGTTCTTGACATGCATGTCCTCGAAGACAGGATAAGATCTCAATCCCCTGTACATGGGGATGTAAGCATGAGTGTACCGACTAACAGTACTGGGCTTCATTACCATGATATCTGCGACTGGTGCTCTCATGGAGAAATTAGCGTGCAAGTGAAATTCTCCTGGTGGGGCATAGTGGTCTTGTGGGTCAATATCTGCATAACTGTGAAGTCCATAGACAAACAAACTATGTTTAATGAGGTTGTGAATTCTGTAAGCAACTCTCAAGAATCTTGGTGAAAGCTAAAATACAATGCATATCTTTAATATATATTTTTCAGAGAAGTAAGGAAAAGTAGTCATTAATTAAAAGTTAATGAAAATTAGTTAGTAATTATTATTTGTAAATGTTAACGTCTCGAACATTTTTCAAGCAAAAACTTCCTTGATTGACACTTCATATTAAACTTGGCTATAGTGTAATGAAATTATACGCACACATTAGAAATGCTAAGTTTTGTAATCGAAAATTACAACTGTTGAGCATGCCGTTTTATAAAATTCAAAATTGAATTTACTTTCAATAAATGTCCAGAAAATGTTCGTTTTTGTTTTAGTACATTTTATTTTATTTTATAACCGTTGTTGAACAGCCGACCCAATTTTGAGTTTACGACTGCTAATGTTCAACTCCGTAGTCTTGCAATTTTGAACCAATCCTAAAGACAAGGGAACTCAAGGAACCAAAGACAAGGGAATCCTAAAGACAAGGGATCCGTCTACTACTGAGGATATTTTTACGTCAGCACTGAGGTCAGCGTAAGCCGGATGCGGAATTTGAATCGAATGCCCATCGCTGGGATTCAAACCCGGTTCATCCCATTGGAAGGCGAACGCTCTATCCCCTGAGCCCTCACGGCTCTGTTTTAGTGCATTGAAAATTTCTCTAAGTTAACATAAATTTCAAGAATTTTTGAAGTTTTAAATAGATTTTGTTTGGTCAACATGTTATTGAAAATGGCTAATTTTACTGAAACGAGAACTGTCACCTACTTTTAGAAAATGTTTGAAAAAGTTTGTGTTTAGAAAATAGCAGTAGTTTGGAATAATCTAAAATCAAATCAAAAATCAAGAAAATGAAAATAAATAAATTATGAAATGAAAAATCACGCAATCCAAGTGCACTTCATTAAAAAGAATGAGAAGAGACCACAAATAAGCAATTTTCCTACATGCTGAGGACAAGTGAATAGTTGCTGTAGTCAGATGATTCAATTGCTTTTCCAATTCAATATACTAGTCCTGTTCTTAAAATGTATTCGATTTTATTCACCGCCCATGTTCAGAAAAATGCTTTTTTAATTCAATAAGATTTTTCAAAGTCCGTATTCAAAATCGGATTCGGGCTTAGAAGTGGACCCAACAAAGAAGAAACCTAATTTTTTGTGAGGTAGATATACCAGTTTGGCTATACGAATACTGTTGTTGTTTCTAATGACATTTGAACAAGCCAAACTCGCCAGTCATTGGCCTTTTGCAAATTAAGTCAGGAGAGCGCGTCTTTAGTTTGACAAGAGAACACCTCAGGGGTAAAGTATGTCTTAGTTCAAAACCCCACAAATAGATGGCAGCACCACACATTCGTGAGGTGACTTCCTCAATTCAGACGCAGACTAGAAGAGTAGGGAGAATTTTCTCCAGATTCCTGTACCCATGGTACTGATCAGTGACTTACATTTCTCCAAATTTTACGGGACTCGGTTTGTTTTTAGCAAAGTCTAGGATCGGAATCCGGACCGGCCTCCGATTTCTCTAACCATTAGAATGCACGAATATTAACAATTAGTACACGAATGCAGAAGAATATTTAAAAGCTGATATGCGTTACATACATTTTCATGTTTCACATGGAAGTTATAGCCATGTACAGTGCTTATGAGTTTGATGTATTCCATGCAGCTCTCGCCAAAGTCAATTCCTCTTTCCCTGTCCTTCACGCACGCTTGGTAGAAATGAGCGTATGGATTGTAATGTTCAGGGGTATCAGGCACTTCTCTCTTGCTTTCATAATGTCTTTGTTCATCGGTTGTGACAAAGTCTCCTTGGATTTTGATCTAAACAGATAATTCTTAAATTAATATCACATATATGTTTACAGTCAATAGAATATTCAGTGAAAACCTATGTCTACAGATGTTTTTTTTTTCTTCTCTTTATACATAAAAGTCCATATTTACCTTTTGATCTGACGTACAATCCTTTCCAAAACCAAGTTTGACTTCGCCTTTGAGAGTATGATCAATTCCAATGGTATTCAAGGTAGCTACTTTTGCTATGTCGTATTTGGGATATAAGAGAGAACTACTGCCACATACCTAAAGAAGTGCAATTAAATTTATATTTATGTATTGCAATCATACATAATCGCAAGACAGCCATGCACATTAAAATTTTTCTGTTATGTATAATTAATTAATATTATGCATAAAACCAAGAATTTTTAGAGAAATGTGTAAAAATATAAACCACTTTTTATAATTGCGTTAGACTATCCAACATATTTTGCAATAAAATCAGTGCTCTATGGTATCCATGCAATAAAATCAGAATCAGTGTACAATAAAATCAGTGCTCTATGGTATCCATGCTCTAAGGTATTTAAAGAGACATATTTAACTTGTAATACATATTTAGCAATTATATTGTTGTTGTTCTCGTAGACCACTAAGACACAGATGGTGCGATTTTTCTTGTTTTTAAGTGGCGCCATCTGTGATCAAGAATTCGAATTCTGCCACACCGGTTTAGAAGGCGAATCCATTAATTCATCTACTAATCGTAATTTTGACCAGAACCAGAGAATGATCAATTTCCAATCTAGTACGCCCAGAAGTATATTTTTGTTATGGGAACATGGAGAATTTTGTGACCCGACAAATTTAACGAGCATCAGTCACCATTTACTACACGGAGAGTCTTCGGCTGTCTGGATTCGAACCCCTGCTCTTACGAACGTGAGTCCAGCACCCAGACTATTCCGGCCCAACAATTATTCTAAGAAATACTTTTGAATCAATTGTAATATTTTTAAATTTCGGAAAAATGTTGACCAGTATTCAATCTTTATATTGTTTGTTTCTTATTGTCTTGGGATACATTAATTCACGATGACGATTCCCGATTTTCAACAATTAACCTGATCGATTGTGTGTTTTAGTAAACCTGAAGGTTGATTTAATTATAAATCACGAGAATGTGAATTACGAAGTGATAAAATTAAATGGTGAGAGAGAGAGAATCGTACATTATTACGCATCGATTGTGCACGGTTATACTTATTAATCGTATACGAAAATGTGTACGTTATGGATCATTGTATGATATAGAGCCAAAAAAATTCACTTACTATTGCATTTGTTTTAAACGACATTTGTTGCAGCACGCTTATATGCAATTTTTTTTGATAGATTCGTATAACATAAGGTAAATGCAACACTTTAATTTTTGAGAGTATAAAAGGATTTTAAAAAACTTACTAATTTAATTCACTTTAATGCCTGGGATGATCCAATGGTTTCGATTTTCCATTGCTCAGACAATATCAGTGTCGTATTATTAAGGATCAAAAATAATTAACATTTGGAGAAAAGTTACAATAGAAAATTAACTGCATCATTGGTGAAATTTAAAAGAAAATATTAGTTACTCAATTTAAATCATTGTTGTGTCCCATGTAAGGAAAAATAACTTTGGAGGACACGTCATTCTTGGTTAATGCTGGTTCATGCATAAATTTACTATGATTAGCAAGATTATTTAACGAGTGAAATAATTCCGTGTAAAGCGAGTGAATGAAATCGATTCCTCATCGCTCAGACAATATCCATGTCAAATTATCAAGGAATATAATAAAAAATAATTAATATTTGGAAAAAAAGTTACAATAGAAAATTTACTGTATCATTGATAAAATTTAAAGGAAAATATTAGTTTCTGAATTTAAATCATTATTGTGTCACACGTATAGAAAAAATGACTGGAATACACGTCATTATTAGTTAATGCATAAAATTTTTGCGATTAATAAGACATACGTTAATTTAACGAGTGAAAATAAAATTCATCATTACCTTAAGAACTCTTGTTTCACTCTTCCAGAAAGGTGTTCTTTCATAGTAGAAGTTAACTTTGTGGTAAGACCTAACTAAGTCCCTTGTCCAAGTTAGGGCTACTTTTACTTTTCTGTCTCTGTCACCTCTACGAACTATGTCACCCTCGATTGAACAGCTGCAGAGTTCGCCTCGATCAGTTGGTGATTTCAAATCTTCGTATCCCTCGGCACCAAATTCAGGTCTGACGAATTCTGAACCGTAGTACTGATATTTAAAGTTGGCTTCAAGCTTTGAAAGAAATAACAAAGGAAACTTTACTCCCTTGAAAACACTTCGTGTAATTAATATGCAATCTAAATATTTTTTTCTTTAGTGACTTGACTGTTAAGAAAGATGTCTGAAAATATAATTTTAGCTTCGTTAAAAATATTTAGTACAGAAATAGCACTTTAATTTCTTTTCTTATATAAAAAATTTAAAATAATAGAGTTAGTTTTTTTTATTTACGATGCACTAGAAATGCACAACGTGCTATTGGCTTTGGCATATGGAACGTCCCTAAGGATAATATAAGACAAGACCTAAGGCTTATTATAAAACAAATGCCATCGCAATTTTGATCCTCTGCTGAGGGGATCTCATTTGTGAAGCCACTTCCTCAATTTAGATATAGATCTGAAGGGGAAAGAAATTTTCTCCAGACTCCTGTACCTATGAAACTACTCAATGAAATGAATTAGATACATCAGCTAGTCTTTTTATAGTGTTAATTCATTAGAAGACAATATTAGAAGTCAAAGGAAATTGATTAACGCGTGCAAGCTGTTTCGATGTCATTTTCCTTCAATAAGTTCGTCTTATTTGTGTAAACATGGGTTTCACTATCTCTATGTAGGGCAATGATCTTACTTCCATTTTTTTCACCCGACATAGTTCATAACATCGTTTTATTTTGTTACCTATAACATGCCTTCCAAGTCTTCTGCTTTTTTTTTTAACGAAGACACCTGTATTTTACGACTATCTCCTGTTTATCTATATATTCTTAAATTTCTCAGTATTTAATGAAGAATTTTAAAACAAATTATTTTGGCGATATAATATCCGCTGATAGCAAAAATACTTCATATTCTTCAACAGATGGTGCTATTGCCAGTACTGATGTTGAGTATTAATAGTTGAAGTAATTATAAATAATGGTTTAAAAAAATCTTCTTTAGATTAAGATTTATATACATATTTTCTTATTTCGCTAAATGTAAGTGCTTGCATTATTTCTAATTTTTAATTTCTCTTTTTGACGTACATAATTATGCTTGATGTACCAAAACTTTACTCGTAGCCTAAAAAATGTCGCTTAGTATTTTATTTCTCTATTGTTGGCAGGTATGCTACAAGGCGTATTATCAAAATTTAGTACAGTACAAACTATTGCAGCTCTTTCACAATTCTACACTTAAACATAATTAATAGTGCTTTGATATAAAACGAAGAATAATACAATCTTTATTTATGACTTGTTTAAAGAAAATATTTGAATAAAAATGATCACAGACTCCCGATTTTTAATACTTTGGATTTTGAATTATTCTTTTTTTCTTAAATCTGAATTGAGAGCCGAATTCCTAAAAAACAATTATAAAATAAATTTTGAAAAAACATTTTATAAAAGAAATAGATCACCAGCTTAAGAATTGCCGCCAATTAATATATTGGTGGGAGCTTAGAGATATTTTACCGCAGGAGTCACTTGATGTCACTTAGTGTCAAATAATTTAGGACTAAATATATAATTATGTAGTAAAATATTTCTATACTGTTAGAGAAATTATTTTAATGGGTTGGAGCTAAGTGGTTGAAATGCGATAAAAAATATTCAAAAAAATGATGAAAATACGCAATATGATTATATTTAGGACATTATTTCAGGAATTAAAGATAAATAGTCCTGTATAGGACACACGCTAAGAATGTTCCCAAAAGACCCGACTAGAACAGCACTGACAAAGGCACCGGATGAAAAACGGAAAAGAGGCTGGTCCAAACTAACCTACAGATTAATGATAATAAAGCAACGAAACATCCTGGGATGTCTCAGTTAGAGAAGTTTAAGAAAAGCGGTTCTCGACCAGCAGGGATGAAGCGCAGAAATTGTGGCCTCATGAGCCACCTGGCGTTCAGAGAATTTAGTCAAGTAAGTAAGTCAAGATTTAAAACCACTGTATCATTCTGTATTTTGTGTACAGAATTTGTATACATTAAAATGTAAGATATATTAAGAATACATGCTGAAACAAAATAACAGCATCATTTCCACATAAAATTGCAAACTAAAATATTAACCTCTCGTGTAGGTTCCTCAGCAGCTTGGGTGAAAGAAATATCCACGTCATACGGTTCAAAATTAGGGTTGGCATACATGTAGTAAAACTTCTCTCTGTAATCTTTTTCGAAAAGGAATCGAACCCAAGAACCTTTGTCGTTGAATTCATTTTCATACCTAGCAGAGACATCGAATCCATGTCCTAAAGCATCATGGAAAAAGCTTTCTTTCATCTGAAAATTAAAAATTTTCATTAAAAAACACAATTTAAAATGCCTTTTTTTTCCTTTCGCAGTCTTTCTCATTTTACTTTTTTTCGTACAAAATTCAGAACGAAGTAGTTTTTAATCAGAACCGTAAAAACGGCCTGTTCATTTTTTAATTCGATTATATTCCGTTACGATTTGATATTTAGCACATCGTAACTATTGATAAGTATCACTATTTCCAAGATTTACTAGTTACCCTTTCATTTCTATATTTTTCTGACGATATTAATTTACTTACTTTTATTTTCTTACAAACTAAAATATATTATTTTTTTTAATTATAAGAAAACATTCTAATGGTTAAAAAAATCTGTTAGGTTATCGAAATTACATTTGTTCTAAAATATAAAATAAAAAAAAGTAATTTGAAAATATATTTTTTTTCATTCATATTCAAAAATTTATCATTAATTGATTTTGCAAATTAATTAAATTTCAATGATGAATAAATGTGTTTCGTAGATCTAAATAACTGCAAATAAGTGCAAATTTGAAACATTATTATTTAGAAGTGAGCAATGTTTGTAATATTTTACCTTTAACGCAGTAAAACGCATCCATGTTTCATGCTGTATCTCATAACCATAAATTATTAAAATGTGAAATAATATTTTTCACTTAGTTTGGTCTAAATTAATACAAAATAATGAAAAATATTTCTAAGATTTAGGGATTATATTTTTAAGAAAATAAAAGGATTTTTAAGAATTATTAAAAGGTTTCCAGCACTGCTTTGTTTTCGGTAACATTTGCAAAGGAGTTGGCATTGCAATAGGGATGCTCCTTTTATTGCCTGAACATTTTTTTTCATAATTCTGGGAAAATTCCCAATGGGTATCACATTTTTGTGCTATATACTTTTAGATGAACGGAAAGTCCAAATCTTCCCTTCAATCCTAAGGATCTGTCTAATATTTAATAATGGTTTTGATGATTTTATTTTGATTTCAAGATAGTCGAACTTGTTACTCTCGATCCTTGGAGACTCAGGAGGGAGATTGTGATAAAAAAAAAAGTTATGCATAATGCACGATGAAAATTATGTGATAAAAAAATTTACGTTAAAAGATGAACACGAAAAAGAATTCTACAAAAATACATTTTTTAACGTGGTAAATGTTTCCACTCTTGTGTGTCTCTTCTCTTGAATGTAAAAGAATGCCATCTAATATATATAATTCTCGTACGTGACTCCCAAATTTTGGCTGTATTTCTTTTCCGCCGGTGGCAACGTTTGCTTTTTTTTGTTTACGTTACTATTTCTCTTACACGGCGAATCGACCAATGATTGCCGCTGAAAATGCCACATGCCAAATCTAGCTGAGGTGGCTCAACATATAGCGCTTTCAAAAACGGAAACTGAAATAACCAGAGAGCATCAGCTGCGGCAATCTCATACTATTAAGCTAGGCAGAAGTGAGTAGTCTTTGTCGATAGATCTCTATTTTAGAAACTCCTGGTGAACGAACTATATTAATGCGGTCGGTTCTGTTAAAGTAAACATTTAATGTTTGAATCTATTTTTACCTCTTTTCTGCTCTGTCGTCTGACTGGTAAATATCCTTCTTCAAGAGGCTTAGCTACACTGTTCATGTAGGAATCGACGTATGTATAGGGCTCGTACTTGAAGTGATAAATCTCATGCGGATTGACTGGTGTCCATTTGAAGTTCAAATTCTTCTCCTTGTAATCCAAATCAAACTTGAGCTTCAGTGGAAGAGACAGAGTGGCTCTCCTATTGATTCCAGCTCCAAAAATGACTCCATCAAAGGGCATTACGACTCCCATCGAAGCAAAAAGATTCTTATCGATCCTAAAACATTTATAATTATTTTTTCAATTGTTACTCATTAAAAGCCCTAGCACACCTTATTAAGGATTGTTTTAAAAATACTTAATTAAATTATTTTTGATACACAATTCATAACTGGTAGTAGTACTTTATTTACGTCGCACCAGAGCTGCACAATGGGCTATTGGCGACGGTCTGGGAACCATCCCTGAGGATGATCCGAAGACATGCCATGGCAATTTTGATCCTCAGCAGAGGGTATGACTCCCTTGTTTTGGCAGCCCGATGACCTGCACGTGAAGTCGAGCACTTTACGATAGAACAGTTTAACGAGAACCGATACCGTGCACCCTCTACGCAGGCTGATCAAAGTGGTCACCCACCCGCTTACTGACAGCAGCCAGTGATGTTTGACTTCGGCGTTCTACTGGGAACCGTGTCTTTACGATCAGTCCACTGTGGGACCATAATTGGTAGTGGGTATTCAACTGGTCACTTTCGTCGGCCAGAATTTCAACCTACACAAATTTACCGTTTCGGATTAGACCAGCTAACTTTTCAGTTGTACTCATAATTTGGAAACTAATATTCAAAAGAGGCAAAATTAGTGATTAGATCACCAAATGTCTTTCTATCAGACATTCTGAAACGTGATGGAAGTGGGTTTGAAACCCGTCGTAACCATCGGTGTATCTTTTTAACGTCCTTCTTTAATTTGTGCAATCTGTGCTTGAACTTAAAAAGGGCTTATACGCCGTCTTTTGTATTGAGCCCATAAGCCCAAATTTCTATATGTAACAATAAACAAACCTCTGCGGGTTCGATCCCCAACCCAGACACCGGATTTTCAGGATGCAGAAAATCCTCAGCTGCCATGTCGTATGATTATGCGGCACGTAAAAGATCCCTAGAGTGCCTTATTGGCTCTTGGCATTTCCGGCAAAATTAAATTCCTGGTGCACTTTAGCATCCAAATAGAGCCTAGGTGCTGCCATCTAGTGTGGTAGAAACTAGACGTCCAAATTAACATGACCAACGGTATCTCACCCATTGTGGTGGTCCTGAAAGAGTGGATGCCACCTCTGGAGAACGCACTAGGTCTGCTCATCGGCAAGACCGATTGTGCAGTTCATTGGGGGGAAAAAACAGTAAACAAACCTACAAAGCTAATCGCTCTTCGTTTCCAACGTAAATTCGAGTTGTTTTAAGAAATGGAAAGTAAAGGTATTAGTAGTAGTACTTTATTTACGTCGCACTAGAGCTGCACAATGGACAGTATGCGGGGATCTGGGATGCATCTCCTTGGATGATCTGAAGACAAACTATTAAAATTTTGATTTTCTACGGAGGGGATGTCTCCCCTTCTTTGGTAGTCCATCGACCTGTACCCGAAATTGCACAGTTAATGGTGTAACAGTTTAGCAAGGACCGATTCCACTGTCCCTCGGTACCTTTGCAGGCTGATCACATTGGTCAACCCACCCCCCGCTTAGTGACAGCTGCCAGTGATGTTCGACTTCGGTGTTCTATTGGAAACAATGTTTTTACGACCATTACCTTACGGGTCGGAAGGTAAAGGAAGTATCTTCTATGTCAGTGTTTTAAGAACATTACATAGTACGCGTACGCAGAACATGAGTTTTAAGAACATTACATAGTACGCGTACGCAGAACATGGTACGCGTACCACACTTTGGGAAAAAGCATTTCTTAAATGAATATGATACTTTTTTACACGTGTGTCTGAAAAAGATTCTTAGTTCTTATTTGTTGAATGAATTACAGCAGTTAGTTGTATTTGAATTTAAAATGTTGCAATACTTACGCTAAATGTCCATCTGTCTCGAATTTTGCATGATCCGGGAATTTCCCTCCTCTCTCTTCAGCAAAGAATCCGGGCTCCACCTTAAAGCTAGTATCCTTGTTCTTATAATATAAATAAGCTGGCTGTTTGTAATCAAAGTATATTGGCAGTCCAGCTTCACTAGGAATGACGTAGAATTGGTCAATAGTCAGCATAAATCGCTGGTAGAAAAATTCAGGAATGCGTTGCAACATGGCTGGTATATTCGGAATGGTAAAGCGACCTGTGGAAGGCAATAATTGCAAGTTAAAACTTTACTGTCAATGCTTAAAAGAAATTCCAAAGAATGATATGAAAAATATGCAGCATAGTTAAAGAGATTGTGGAAAGAATGTGTTTCGAAAGTGCTCAAAATGTTCTTCTGCAAGCTTTTCTTTTTTTCAGACGCCGAAGTTATAAGTACATGCTGTAATCAGAGCTATAAGTGCAGGAGATTAACTTCAAATTTAGAAATTCAAGTGCAGATTAGTAATTTTGTAATCGATTTTTCAACCTAGTCTTTAAATAAATCCATTTTTAATAATAAAAAAAATATTGTTTGAGAAGACCGAATAAGTCATGAATTCTGATTCCTCGATTAAGGCAAAATCCTTTTTACATTAAACGTTAAATGAAGTGTCAAATTTTCCAGAGTTTGACCATACAGGCTGATTATTTACTGAAAATATAAAAAGGATATTTTAAAAGCCAAACACAGTAGTTACATGGTTTTGTGATAAGCTTAAATGTAATCACAAAATTTGGTTTTGAGACAATTTTCATGAATATTGAGTTAATTTTATAGATATATATTTATATATATAGTTAATTCGAATTAAATAATTTCATGAATATATATTTGCGCATATAACTAATTTAAACGAGATAATTTCATGAATTTTTGTGCATATAGGGAATTTAAAGTAAATGATTTTTATGAATAATGTGATGAGAGAACATAATAATGACTTTCATATAAATTTTTAAATTTTGATTTAATAAACTTTTTATTTAGTAATTTTCTTTATGATATAATTAAAGATTCTACCTCCTTTTCATAACCTTATTAAGAATACAGCCTTTTCTTATTGAAATAAATCAATATAAAAATAAAATGGCTCTTCAATTGAGCAAGTAAACAGAATTATCATTTCCTCTTTTTCTATTCAAAAATAAAGAGATTTTTTTTTCTTCATTGTATGCGAAATTAGCTGACTTATCAATAGTATAGAATGTTTTAGTGTTGTAGCATATTAATGAAAAGAACATTATCATAGTGTTACCTTGCTTGAAGAAGTCTTCAAATGTCTTATCATCGAAACGGAAGAAAGAACGTTGAGTTCCCATGTAACTGAAAAAGATCTCTCCCAAAATAGGCCCATAATTATGCACTGGGAGATTAATCTGAAACGAGAAAAAATTCTATTAGTAATATAAAAATTTTTTAATTTAGTTCTTCTAAGAAATTCTATTATCATAAAATTACAACTGAAATTTTTTATTTCATTTTTATGAACATCGGGAAATTAAAAGAAAAAATTATTTTAAAATTATTAAAAGAATTTTAATTTAAGTTTATAAATTCAGGCTATTAATCAATAGGAAAACGTGATTAAAAAATGGTTACCGAATGGATAAAATATTTAATATCCACTAATTTTACTTTTTAATGAACAATAATGATTATAAAGTTGACACTAAATTCTGTTTCCGAAAATTCTGTTAGGTGTTTATGTCACCGTAAATAAACGAAATTCTTTCTTACACCTAATTACTTAAGCCTAATTCCACAAGCCTTTTCATTTTTTGCTTTCTTGTCATTTTTTGCTTTGAATATTTTAATTATTGGTGATAATTGTAACTAATCAAAAGATTTCAAACCATCTGCAAGATTATTTGTTTAGATTACTGTACTTTGAATTTTACAGTTATCTTAAAATTATTTTAAGAAAGTTAGTTCGATATTCTTTTTCACAACAATTAATCACCATACAAACTGTTATCTCAATACTAATCATAATGACATTATTTTTTGACAATATTCTTACATGAATGCCCACTAACGCGGAACTCTCTCCCCATATTTAACGCGCATTATTTAACCTTAAGGCGTTTCTAGTGACTAGCTGTTTTTTGTTCCTTTTTGTTTTTTAAAACTAGAAAAGTGTTTTGCGCGCACTTCTAATTACTAAAGTTCTTTAATAATTTTAATGCATGATACGCCTCTCTTTACCGAAATGCAGTGATGACAAATGTTCCATTTGAACTTGCCAGAAGGCCCTTTAACTTGTGGAGCATTCTTGAGTAAAATATTGTTATGTTTATCTTTTTTGAAGCTTTGTATATTTTTTTTATAACTGTATTTTTTTATTATTAGCTCTCTTATTTGAAGCGCTGTATATTTTTTTATATATGCATTATTTGATAATTAGCTCTCTTATTTGAAGCGTGGTATATCTTATATAAAAGTTTATCTTAATCGATACTTATTTGGGGCGCTGATTGAATGAAGGTTCTATTACACATTTTAGTGAATTCGAGTAAGCAAGTTTTATAGTTTATGCATCAATAATAAGGAATAAAGACAATACCCTGCCTTTATTAATTATTCGAAAAACCGAAAGATTTTAATCTGCAAAATATATAAATACCTAACCCTCTAAGAGATACTCCCCGTCACAGTGTTCACCCTCTAGAGGTTTCGAGTTTTCTTCAAAAGAGAGACTTTCTAATGTTACTTGACAACTGTTATTTACCAAATATGCTTGGAATCTTCATTTTCTCCAAAAACAATAAAATATTATTACTTAATAACTACATCCACTAAGACTAACCTTAACTTAGTACCGTCGTCCACTAAGGCTAACTTTCACTAAGTACTTTTATCCACAAAAATTTAAAAACTGAGAAAAATAATTTAAGGCTTCTTTTAGTTAAAAATAAGATTTTCCTTCGAAATATCTCAAATTTCTTCACCAAAACATGACACTTAAGCGTTTTTTCCATTATGGTATTCCTTTATTGCAAGTTGAAGTTGGAAAGATAACTTATGTCATGCATTATATTAAGAGTGGCCCCCGGTGGCTGAGTGGTAGCGCTTCGCGCTCTCGTTCCACGAGTCCTTGGTTCGATCCTCGGGCCGGGGAAGGTTGACTTAGCCCTTCATCCCTTCAGTGGGTTTAGAAAATGAGTACCAGGCATGCGTGGGGACTAAACACTGGGGGTTCCGCGCTCTGCTATCCTCCTAACCGAAACATCAGCTCATACGCCGTAGAACCTAAGGTCAACAAAACTGAGATGGGAGCAGTAGGCTTTAGCTCTCAAGCGGCTGTCAAGCCACTGAGTTTATTGTAGTTTATATTAACCCTTTTGAAGGACGTGGTAAGTATATTTACCACCACGTTTTACCACTTTTAATTTAGGTTTCCATTTTTCAATAACTTCAGCTTTCTCGAAGTGAGTTTGAATAAAATTGGTAGCCATTTGTCACTTTTGAAAAACGTATAAAAGTTATAAAATGCATAATTCCTTTTGAAGTTTGTAGCATTTAAGGAATTTATTTTATAAATAAAGAAAAATAAAAGTCAGTAAGTTCCTAATAGGTGATGTTAAATATATTTACCACCAAAAAAATGGCGTTTTTATAAACTAAATGAGTTTTTTTTATATCATTTACTGTTCTTAAAACTGTTTCAATTCCAAAAATACTTTAATTTACCTTTACTAGAAATAAATGGCCCGTTAAAGGGTTAAGAATTGTAACTGTAGAATACTTCGGGTGCGGTTGTGATGACTTACTTTTGATTTAATCTCGTTAAGTTCTTTTTCCACGGCATCGGTGTCTCTTTTGGCACGTTTCTTGAAGAGATCGAAGAAAGATCTTCGTCCGAGGCTACCTTCAGGGCCTATAATGTTATCTAAGAATTTCTCTAATCCATACTGTCTCATTCCTAGACCAATGCCATGAAAAGATTTTCCTCCTAAAAAGTCTTCCAGTCCAAGATACATAGTATGTGGAATATAGCCTTTATCACTGGCATAGTAAGCGAATTCTGTAGACCCTCCGAAATCATAATTTGCTGCAAAAATGCAGACAAGTATTATGTTTTGCATTGATTGAGACATAGTGATTCTTGTGAGTTTTTAATGGGATATAGCCTCTATAACTATCATAGTATGTGGATGCTGTAGTAGCATGAAATTATATTTTGCTGTAAGGTTTAATTTTGTTTTTCACTTATCATTATTTAATGACATAACATCTTATGAATTCTCAATAAACATAGCTATTTAGCAATAGTATTTCATCGAAACCCTCGAAATTCTAATGCGCTACAAGGATAATTATTTTCTTTTGTGCTAATTGTAACATAATATTTTAATATCTTTTGAATATTTAATGACTTCAGTTATGCTATGCATCGCTTGCATTATACAATAATTACAGAGATTCTCGAAATCATAATCTGCTATAAGAATATTAATTTTGGTTTACACTAATTGTGATTCAATAATTTAATAAGTTATGAATTTTTAATAGCCAACAACTGTGTCAGACATCACTGACATTGTAAGCGAATGCCAGAAAATAAACAAGTTTTGAGTTTTGCTCCCATTGTGTACAATTTAATTATTCATAAAAATATTTTTTTTTTGCAGATATATATATANTCGCTTCAAAACATAAATTTCATGAAAAAAAAATTTCTAGTTTTCTATGATAGATAGACGTTAGCCTCCTTACTTTTTGTGCTTTCATATTCAACTTAGAAAATAATTACCTACTGACAATGAAATAAATTTCTCTGAGGAGAACTTTTCGGGTCAAGAATAAATTAGGTTGCATTTATAATTGTTTACAGGTGAGAGCGAAAACTTTACAAATAAAACTCTCAAACTACCTATATCATGATATGACAGACCAGCATGTTAAGTTTGTAAACGACCTTTTGGGACACCCTGTATATATATGCAGGGTGTTCCAAAATTCTCTTTACAACTTTAAAAAATCATAACTTCGAAAATAAACAAGATATTTATATTATGTCTTTCGCATGTATTACTGCAACTAATAAAGTTTTGTTTAGTACACTTCAACATGCGCACCATTGGTGGCCCTAAGCACTTCCAGTCTGTAATCAATTTCAAGCCAGGTGATGTAAACATAATTTTGGAACACCCTGTATATACCATAACATCACGCAAATTTGCTGCTATTTTACTAAGGTGTTAAATTTAACCATAATTTATTTAAGGAGACATAGAACCTAAATTTTGGCAAAAGTGGACTAAAATATCAAAATAAAGTTTTTCGTGAAAATTATTCCTCGCATTGTTTCTCGATCAAGTTTTAGAATTGTTCATCGAATATTTATTTAGTAATGGAGTTTTTACGAACAGTTCTATACTATAATACCAATTGAAGCAAACTTTGAACTTAGTTTTTTCTAACTTAAATTTTGGCAAATTTAGCTGCCTATAAAACCAAGACTTTTTTTCCAAAGCAACAAATACTGCGATATTTTGTGCATACGGTATCATCTAAGGTGTTAAGTTGAACCATGACTTATTTAAGGAAATATAGTATTTAAATTTCTGCATAAATTGACCAAAACATCAAAAAAAAATTTTTTTTAAAACTTATACTTCATACTTCTTTACCTGTACAAATTTCGAACTCTGCGACAAATATTTGTTTATTAATAGCTATTTTTACAAACAGTTCTATACTATAATACCCTGATGTCAATGAAAACTTTGGATGAAGTTTTCTTTAAACTTAAATTTTGGCAATTTTAGTTGCCTTTAAAACCAACGATTTTCTTTCCAAAGCCTCAAATGGTTAGATATTTTGGATAATTGTAAATAATAATATGATAATATGGGGAAAATATTGATTTCTTTAAGTAATAAGTGTCAAGTAGTAAATGCTTAATTGTGAATTTTTTAATATTTTAAAATTAATTAGTAATTTTTCATAATGTCACCAACCTAATTTTTTTACGAATTTCAAATCATTCCTGATCTTAACGGATACTATCTATTATTAAGTAGAATATAAAGAGTATATAGTAAATATTTCTTAAATATTCAAAATTAGAAAAGAACTAATATTTTTAAATTTAAGTTAAAAATTTAAATTATTTGAAAATAAAAAAATTAAGAATTTTCTCCTTTTCTTTTTTTTAAATTTTTAATTGTGTTATATTGATTCCTATTTAAGAGAATAAAATTATACCAGAGCCCATAGTCAAAAATTTTTCAAAAAAAGTGGTACTACCTCCTCCTCAGTTCAACCATGGCACCAAATAATCAAATTTAAAAAGGATTAATTTGCATGATACTATGTAGCTTAACATAACATCCTTATTAAGGAAATAGAAAGTATGTATCATATTATCATTCAATAAGTTTTGAAATTTCTAACAGTTACTTTTTCTTTAAATCTTTAGACAGACTTCGATATAACAGGATTAATTACAGGTCCGTTTGATTACATCACATATCTTAATTTTTGTGTTTGTGTGTAGGCCAATAAAGCCACTTTTGGCTCTTGTGCCGGGAGGCTCTGCATTAAAACAACCAATGGAATTTGTGTAAATCTAAACATTTAATAATTATGCATGTCAATTCTAACATTTAAATTGAATCATATGTGAAGGGAAAAAAAGCACGAAAACTTACGATCATAACCAGCTACGTAGTTACTTCGTGAAAAGGTGTAGTCGTATTTAGCAAACTGATGATGGTGCGTTTCGAGTATTCTTAAAGCAGAGAGAGCAATTTTCGATCTAAAATTTAAAAAATAAAAAAATAAAAATACAGTGATCCATCACTAGAATAAATAGAATTAAATCGCAATTTGAGAACAGAACAGACGCAATTGTACCTTAAATTGAATTTTTCGAGGGTTTACTTACAGCAATATATTTCAAAGGTGAGTTTGAATTATCTTGTGATTTGAGAGCAGAATTGACATATACTTTAAATTGATAGAGGCTTAAATTATTATTGGTTATACAGGGTGGTCCTAAAATATGTGTCAAAAATGTAAAGGTAGGTAGAGGGTACTTAAATAAGCATATTTCGTATAGGATTGTGTGTGCGGTAATGCTGCTTTGAGCCGGTAGGGAGCGCTGATGACTGCGGCGTATAAAAGCGCTTGCTAGCTGGATTCCCGCACGGATCTCAAACAGCATGCATCGTTTCACCAATGTGGAGCTTGCCGACGTGCATTTCATGTATGGGGCTGCACAAGGAAGCGAATTAGCTGCTCAGAGGATGTACAGGAAGCGTCAGAAATCACCTGGACGCTGTTTACGGCCAGCATTGGATAGGACGGGGTGGTCCAGTTCCCTGGCCACAGCGTTCTCCTGATTTAACCTGCTTGGATTTTTTCTCTTGGGTCATATTAAAAGCCTGGTGTACGAGAGTCCCATCAAGAAAATCTTGTTGCCCGCTTGTCTGTTGCTGCTTTACATGTGCTCGACATGCCTAACGTCTTTTCTAATGTACGCCAATCGATGCGCCGTCACCGTGAATATTGTATCGATGTTGGTGGCTGCTCTTTCGAGCACCTCTTGTAAACTGTTGATAAATTTTTATTTTCTTTTGTCTTTACTTGTCTTTTCAGTTTCCTCTGATTCATACTGCTGTACAAGCTAGTGCTTTAATGTGCCATTACCGCACACACATTCCTATCCGAAATATGCTTATTTATGTCCCCTCTACCTACCTTTACATTTTCTACATATATTTTAGGACCACTCTGTATAAGTCTACTTTTAGCGATTTATAACAAAGTTGAATAGAATTAAGATTTTCGAGAGTGGAATTGTGGGGATGGTAGTTATCGACAATGTTAACCTTCATTTATGAAAAGGTACCCCAGTATAGAATAGAGTTAACATACCTTATATACTAGCGAATTAGAATTGTATATTTTTGGAGTGGTAGTTACACTTCAGTACTCTACCGTCTGAATGTTATTTGTGATAGAATTCGATGAACGAGATACCAATAGTTGATTCATTGCAGTTTTGTATTCAGAGCTGTATTAGGATAACTGTACATCTGAGTGCTGATCGTGAGAGTTGTATTAAGTTCACAATCGTGGTCACTCCACTGTGGCTTTAGCTGTTGAGTGCATACAGGCTGACATTGCGTGTGATGGAGACAAGAGTGTCAACAGCGCGAGGAGGTGGATAATGTCGCCGTCACAGCAAGTCAATTGTTCCATGTGGACTATCCATTGAAATAGGCGTGTTCAAATCGAAGTGCAAGTTTCAGTCAAGGTAGACGTGTTCACATCAGGTACGAAGGTCACTAATGTGTGAATGGTAATTATCGACAATGTCAGCCTACATCCATGTCGAGGTACCCCGAAACATAATCGAGTTAACAAGTTTTATATACTAGTGAATTGGAATTGTTATTTTTTAGTGGTAGATACACTACAGAAATGGACATAATATTTCAAATTTATAGAGTCTACTTACATTGATCTATCGCAAGGGTGAGTAGAATTGACACGTGATTTGAGAGCGGAATAGACATAGGCTTTAAACTGATCATCTTGATCAAATATAAGAGCTCGGGCTAGACCTTCCATTTCATACTGTTGAGGTCGGTACATCATCAACATATTGAACGCATTAAGTCTCGCTTCATAGTTTTCTGTTTGATTGAACAATATTGGAACCAGTATTTCTCTTGCCTAAAGTCAAAGAAAGTATCTTTTAGATTTAAAAACGTAAGGATTCTAAGACTTATATTAAAAAGAAAAAGTTTTAATAATAAATTTAATATCAAAAAGTATTGTTCCAATTACACCTCTTACCTTATCAGGGAATCTGAATCCTACATGTTTTATAGACCACATAGCCATGCTTCTGAAGAAAGGAGAGCTTTTGGTAGATCCATCAACGTAAGATCTAACATGTGGTACGATTTCACGCAATCCAATATTTGCCATGGCTTTTAAGAACAACTCTTTTGATTTTTCGTCTGGAGCTTGTTCAAATAATCTGGCAACATGCTGGAAAGCAATAAAATTAAATTAATAAATAAGGCTTTTTTAAAAAGCCTTATTTTTTATCCCTTTTTAAAAGCCTTATTTTTGTTAAGTCTTAAAAAATATATTCTAAAAATGAGGTAAAAAATTCGTGCATATTGGGGGTCGACAATTACTATTTAAGAGAGGAAAAAAGCAATCAATAGCTAAAAAAACTGTCATATAGAAGGGGTGATTAAAAACATCAAAACCAATTTAATTGCCGTATGAAATTTAAAAGTGTTTTTAAAATTCGCTTCAACTTCTCAAAGTTTCTTTCTGTAAAAGCAAACATTTATAATTCCAATATCGCTCTGATAATGATTCACCAGGAATTGATTGTGTTTTTCTTCCATAGCTTAGCGCTAGAAAGACTGAACATTTTTGTATATCTAGAAAGATTGAAGATGACCGATTTGGCTCTTCTTAGATTGTTTATTAGTAGATCAATTATACATCCAAAATCTTAAAATACAATCATAGTTAATTTAATGAAAACATATTATAGACTTCCTCTTCCGAATTCCATGGTATTTTATTTGATTTCGTTAAGGAAAATTTTTCATTGCACGGAATTGTGCCATTTTTCAATTATACGCATTCATTAGTTTCTTAGATAAACGAGTTTCCTTTTCTCTATAACTAATGTTGATATATATGTTGAAATACTCTTGTTTTTTATTGAAACTGTGGTACCCTATATAAATCCAAAGGTACTTCTTATTAAAAACTACTTGGGATTTTTGGACACAAACCAAAATACCTAAGGCATCACTCTAGCCCTTCTCGTTATTCTAAGTATATGGTTCTATATATACGTCTCTATAAGGTTAACTTATGATTGATTAAATAAGTCCTTAAATTGGATCAAATTTTGATAATTTAGAAATATTTAACACTTTCAGCAAGTTATTTTTTGAATTACAGAGCAACAACAAATGAGATGAGCCAAGCAAGACCCCAACTGCCTTTCTAATGTTAACCCGAAACAAATATTTTAAATATTCTATGCTAAAAACGGTGATAAAAGAACAGTAAATATTTACGTAAGTTGTAACTTACATCAAAGTATTTGATGGCATCCTCAGGTTGGCATGTTTTGACGTTCTTTGCTGGTGGAATACCCTCCGGGTGAAACCTAGCCACGCAGTGATCGTAGATGATGCTACTGAATGATAACAAACAGTACATGTACAGTTTAGGATTCTTCTTCACATTGTTATGGTCACAAAGTTGCTGAAAAGTACAATAAAGATTCAGTTAAAATATTTGCTTAGATTTATAGTCTAAGCAACAACTCTTTTCCTCAGTACAAAATGTCACGTTTTTATTTCTGAAATCTTACAAGAACAGCATGTTCATAAATATGGTAGTAAGAATATGGTAGATAAAAATATGGTAGTAAATTATATTTTGATTGCATTGGTTTTGATTAAAAAATGATGTCTGAACAATCAGGAAAAAATATTAATGAGGAATAACGACTCTACCATGCGTTTAGGGAAATAAGATTGTGTATTGAATTGCATAATGTAAAAGAGCAACAAATAATATCTGAATGTAAAAATTAATTTGCTATACGGAAAAAAAGCAAATTGCTATATTTTCTCGTCCTTTAATTTCCTTCTTTGCTTCTGATCAATGAGTTTACTCTTTGTTAAATATACGGCTCATCCATCATTGGCATTTGAAAAGATTGTGAAAAAGCTAAAAACGTCTTTTTTTTATGCCATGATTATTTCCAACGTTTAAAAAAATTAAGTTTCTTTAGAAATATAAGCTATAGAAAAGAACACATATCCGGATTAGAGCTTTCATAACAAATTTCTTAAAGTAGCAAAAATTTAACAAGCATCTAAATAAAGTGGATTTATGTAATAGTGTCAAAAATACAACAACGCCGCTTTACAGGGTCATAGATGAAGGTTGTAATAGTGCTTCCCAGATTGCATATAAAAGATTTATTTTTTCACATGCGAGCATTTAAAGAGAATGTTAATTCGTATTATGATAGATGCCGCACAAAAAAAAAAGAACAATGGTGTTATAGAATGACTTTCAGTGGCTGATGGTGAGCGTGATGGCCAGCTTTTATCAACTTATGTTTGCTATTTATAACGAATAATTTCTAAAACACACACACAGCTGCGTATAAATGGCGTTGAGGTGTTCATGACAAACGTATACCAATGTTTAATCTACAAAGTACAAGGCCACGCCATGATCTCTCTTGAATCCATTACTGATGTTAAAGAAATGACTAATGGTAATAGTAGAGTCACGACATCTGTGTAGTACACTGTGTGACATGAGTAAGGAAATGACACAGTCACTTTCTACCACTGAAAACCATTCTACTCGATGCTGTTTAGTTTAAAAAGCATCCATCTTAGTTCATCTTTACATTCACTTTAAATGCACTTATGTCAACTAGTTAAACACTTACAGCAAAGTCAACAGTACTTTCCTGTTACCTTTACTAATAGCTTTGAATGATACCGTTGCTATCGCTACCGTATTGCTGTTATTGTCACACTTGTCTATTTTTCATTTAAGCAACTTTTATGTTTCTGAAACGTGAAGGGTAGTTTTTATGCGTTGTGGGTTATAAATAAAATTCCCACTGCTTATAGTTAGTTTATTTAAAGGCATTGAGTAATAAATTAGCTAGCAGCTTATACCACTATCCATCTACAAACAATTTAATGTGTATTTTTAATTATTTATAACTACCTAGTTATATGATAAAAATATTTTATTATTCTTACTTGAAGTCCATCCAAGAGAGTCTCACTGACTTCTTTGATATGATAAGGCAGTTTTGCTAGCAAATAAGCCGATTCATCTACTGTCAACTTTTTGTTTTCAATCAAAAACTTTCCGAAAAGAAGGGCTGGGTTTGTTCCGGATTGGGCAAGTGTATCGACGAAAAGTGTTCTGCAATATCAAAAGAATTTTTATTTCAAGCAGGTCAATAACAAATATCAAAAAGACATAAAAAAAATATATAGGTATTCTTCAAATATTCGAGCATCCATATCTACATGCAAATGATATGTCAGTGATGCTCAAAATATCTAAATCCATAAACTTAGACGTATTTAAATATCTTTGAAATGTCCAAAATATCTAGTGGACATTCAGGTATATTACAGTCGTATACTATTATCCTTAGGATGTTAGAGGCATTGCATAATATAGGAGCTCAGTTATTTGAATCCGTCTTATTGTGAAACAATGACAAGACACGACAATTAAAAAATCTCAATTAGAACTTTAACAACACATGTATTATTTTTATTCCTCAAAGTAATAAATAGTTCCGAATTTTAACTACCACAGTAGGCCAGGAAAAAAAAGGACTTCCGAGAAAAAGTTATTTTATTTTTTATTAAAACTTTTATGTGCCAAATGGGGTCGGGATAGTCTGGTTGGCAGGGTGCTGGACTTACGTTCATGAGAACGAAAGTTCGAATCCACCGCACTGAAGACTCCTCGTGTATTAAATGGTGACTGGTGCCTGTTAAATCTGTCGAATCACAAAGTCCTCCACGTTCCCATAGCAAATTATACCTCTGGGGATACTGAATTGGGGATTAATCGCTCTCTGGTTCAAGTCAAAATTACGATTTGTGGATGAATGAATGGGTCCACTCTTTAAACTGTTGTGACGTACGGGTGTGACAGAACTCGATTTCTTGGCCATAGATGGAGCCACTGGTAAACATGAACAATTGCACCCTTTTTGCCTTAATGGCTGACTACAATAACTTGTGTTTAATTTAATAACAAATTCTATTTCAAAAGGAATAATAATGTATTAATAATGTTTCCAGTATTAAATAATTTCAAATAATTTTTATTGATTTTTTGTTTTAAAATGTTTAAACTAATCTTTGGTAAAAAAAACTCTTAGAAATTACCATTATAAAAAATTTCCAATCGAACAATAATTTATTAAATATTTTATTGTATTAATCTGTAAAAAATGATTATGGTGGATTTTAACTGAATATAAAATTAGGGAAATTTTTTCCATTTTTTTAGGACATAAATATCAAATATTGAACTAGTTGGTTCATTATTTTACTCTAAAGACTTTCGTTGATGAAATTCTTTAAACCAGCTCAAGTATAAGTTATGAAAGTCAGTTTGTAAGCAACTTGACATAACTCTGCATAATGATCTGTGTCGATTAGTATCAGTCATAATTAAAAGCATCTTAAGAACGTTGATCATGGTTTTTTGAAGCTCTTTTGACTAGGAAAATAAAAAAGCCAACTTTAAAATACCTTATACTTGAAGCAAAGCTATAATTTTTAACTATATGTGCCATCTTGCCGTGAAGAATTACCAGGGCTTTAGAACGGATAAATAATTTAAAAAAAAATTTTTTTTAAAGTTATTAAATTTTTTTTAAAATCGTCAATTTGGCGACATTTTCCCACATAGTTATCCTAATTATCAAAATCACTGCCTTATTCTAAGTTTTTGCAAATTTTAATAAGTCCAGATAGCGCAGCACAGAGTAAGATTTTAAATACTAAAAATATTGGAACATAAATGCTTATCATTTTCACAAAACTGTAGCTTTTTCTCATATTGACGTTTTGTGGCATTTTCGGAATAAGCGAAAATAAGCACTGGCTATTTGAGGGTAAACTTTACCTAACCTTCATTAGTAACTTTTGCAAACTCACAGCAGTTATGAAAATAGCATATTATTCGCAAAAAAGCATCATTTCATATGACTGTTGAACCTTCGAAAAACAGCCTAAACGCATTAAATTTAAAATTCATTAGGGAAACTGTATCGTTTATTACCTGTATTTCTTCTGTTCTGGTGATCCAGTTTTGGGCATATCTCCATATTTTTTGTATAAATCTTCGATCTCCTCATAACCAATAGTTCCTACTGACCTTAGAAGCTCTACGAATTTGGCGGGAAAATTTTTGTCTTTGAATTTCTCTTCATAGCTCGAATCACTATAGACTTGATTAAGCTCATCAAATTGGCTCTTTATCTAAAAAGAATAATCATGTAAACTAATCAATAAAGTTAGAATGCTTTACATAAACTGGCATTGACAAGGACTTTAATTATACTCTAAATTGTGTTTGATGCCTCGTAGTCACCGCCGTTAATGCATATTTAATTAGAATCATTGTCAAAAAATAATTCAAAATTATATACACATTAGAGATTGCAAGCATAGGTGTAAAAATTCTAAATTCTGGAACATATTTTAAATTTATGCTCTTAAAAAGTTTGTATTATACAAATCTAAAAAAGGTTGCCTTTTGTGCCTATAATTTAGATTTAAATTTTGACGAGGATTTCAAAAGTATACATTAAGGGTGGTAATTACAGAACATCTCAGACACTTAATGTAAATGCACGTTAAACGGCAATTCGAATTGCCTGTGAGAAGTAATTTAATTCTTCTCTTTAAGGATATTAGTTTATTTTGCCATGTGTCTTTAAATAAGATGGTTTGCAATTGGAAAACATCTTTTATACCAAGATTATTGCAAATTTTTTACAAGAATATTCCGTAAATAATTTTTATTACTTTTCTAAAATGTCCCTTAACATATTCTTATAAAAATATTTATTAGAAAAATAATTAAATTAATTAATAAATAATTAAAAATAACTAATTAATTAAAATTATTAAAAATAATTAATTAAGATAATTATAAAAATACAAATTATCATAGAGGGTATTCCTAAATCGCTATCTTTTCATAATATTCCATATTTTCTTAATATCATAATATATTTCTTTAAATAATAATGTTTGTGGAATGATAGCTAATAAAATAGATCTAATAATGAGATGAGAGAGAATGTTGAGAATAGATCTAATTCTTCAAAGTAGCTCAAATCAAAGTTTAAACTAGCATAATGGATTAAAATTAAATATTAATTTTATATCGGAATAAAAAATTTTCTTAAGAGAACAGTAAGCTTTTACAACGATTATTTTTAATTGCTAGAAGCTTTTTTTAGCATCAGTGATTCAAATAAAGTCACTAATGTAACAAGTTTCAAAATAATGTATTGAAAAATTAAGGAGATATTAAATAAACAACTTTTTTTCATTATACCTAATTTTAAAAAAGATTCTTCTCTTTAAAAAAATATTCAATTTTTTTTAAGAAAAAGAAAATAAAGTTTAAAACAAATATTGCTTTAAATGCTTTCAAAAATCTTTGTTTAGATGGAATAAAAATTTAAATCTTTATTTAAAAAAAGATTTAGGTTTAATGTTACTTTAAATGCTCTCAAAAGTCTATGTTGAGATAAATAAAGCAGATAAAAGTTTAAACCTTTATTAAAAAAGGGAATCGGATTTAATGTTATTTGAAATGCTTTCAAAAGTATGTTTAGAAAGATGAGGCACATAAAACTTTAAATCTTTATTAAAAATAAAAGGCAAGTTTTCGAGCAAATGTTACTTTTAATGATTTCTATATCTGTATTTTTAGAGAGATAAAAATATTAAACTATATTTAAAAAAATAAGTTTTAATGTTACTTAAAATGTTCTGATAAGTCTGTGTTTAGATAGATAAAACATATCCAAATTAAAATCTTTATTAAAAATAAAATGAATAAATTTTAGAACAAATGTAACTTGAACTGCATTAAAAAATCTATAAATTGAAATATTTATTAAAAAAAGAATAAGTTTTAGAATAGTTACTTTAAGTGCTTTCCAAAGTTTATGTTTAGAAAGAAAAAAAGATAAAAGTTTAAAATTTTATTCAAAAAAATAAGATTTTAAAACAAATATTATTTGAAATGCTTTCAAAAAATTGTGTTTAGTAAGTGAAAAACGATTAAAAACTAAAAACAAATTTTAAGAAAGTGACACAAAACAATTTTTTTCTTAAAAAATATGCCTCCCAAATATACATTATGAAATTATTTTTATGTAACATTTAACATAAACATTATTTATGACTAAATTTTTTTAAATTAAAATTTGAGTTATGGAAAAATAATTATTTTGCATGGAGCATTTTTATTTAAATCTAATTAAACATTTTTAATTAAAATTGCATTCACTTTTCAATATTAGATATATGAAATTCGGTATAATAGGTAGTTTGTATGTGAATAGCTGACACAAAAAATTACAATTCTTCGCATTTATTCATAAATTTAAATATTTAAAATTAAAGAAATTCATTTTTAATGTTTTAGGGGTCTCCTCCTCCTTTAAATCCTTTTAAGAAAATTTTAAGTTCGGAATTTGAGATATTTCCAAGTTATCTATCATGAAGTTCAAGGATAAATAAAACTTAATGCTAAGCGCTTTTTGTATCATAAATAGACAGCAAATCTCGATGACAGACAAACTACATTATTGATAGCTGCTATCTATATCTTAAGTTTTATGAAAAGATGGAAGTTCGTAAACAAGAAAAATGAAATATTAATTTAAGAGCAGTTATCTATTTAAACATCTAGTGAGATTGCGAAGGAAGTATAACATATGTGTTGAAATTTGAAAGAGGGTGTATCGTTGATAATCCACGGAAAAAATAGTAATAGTGCATGTTTTGTATTTGAAGTTGAATAAACTAGTGAATGAAGGTTTTGTAAAAATATATTTCATTCATAAAACGTATTTAAAGGTGACATTGTGAGAAATTTATTATTTTTATTCCCAACTTATCGCTTGTCAAATCATTAGAATAAAAAATGTCCGTTAAACATTGGTATTTTTATTTTATTATATGTTGGTGCGTTTGCAAATCATATTGTATTTATTTTTAAATTATGAGAATACGAAACGTGATGTACTTATTCACAAATCCTGTGAATACGAATCATATTTATTCTTAAATCTCCTGAATACATAATATGATGCATTTATCCTTAAATTACGTGAGCACGAATTGGGATGCTTTAATTCTTAAATCATGTGAATGCGAATCATTATTTTTTTTATTTAACATGAATACAATCCGTGATGTATTCATTTCTTAAATTACGTCATTACGAATCATGATGTACTTATTTATAAATCTCCTGATCCCGAATCGTGACGCATTTATCCTTAAATTGCCTGAACACGAATTGGAATATGCATTTAATCTTAAATCTCGTAAATATGAATCATGATGCAATTATTTTTGATTCACGTGAATACGAATCATGATGTACTTATTAATAAATCCAGTGAACACGAATTGGGATGTATTTATTTTTAAATCTCCAGAATAGGAATCGTGATGCATTTATCCTTAAATTATGGGAAATCGAATTGAGATATGTGTTCATCTTTAAATCGTATGAATACGAAGCATTATGTATTTATTCTTAATTCACATGTAGTCGAATCATGGTGCTTTTATTCTTAAATTACGGGGATACGAGTCGTGATGTATTTATTTGTTCTTGCATCCTGAGAATACGAATCTTAGTATTTTGATACTCAAATCACGTGATAACATACCAGGGTTCGTAAGTTGTACGAATGTAAATTACGATTTGTATATTACGAATATAAGCAACACTATTTAGCGCTGTGAAACAACTATTTAATCTCAAAAACAATAATGCGCCATTTTGCTTCAGAGCATCAGAACAGCCACTGTTTTAAATAGTGATGTTCTTATTGATTTATAATGGCGCTAATTACATCGAACTATTTTGCTTTTCCTTGTCAGACACAAATAATGGGAGATTACCACTCCAAATCCTTTATAGACAACAGTAATCGATTTTTAATAATTTTGCACTATATCATTGTTTACATACTTAGAAATTTTAATTAATATTTCTTCAATTATTATTAATTTCAATTTTTAAACAAACATTTTATCTGATGGGCGATAAATAACACTGTGGAACAAGTTTGTCATTGCATTTAAACAAATACTTGATCTTGCCCGATTTGGGTATTGGGATTTCAAATCTGAAATTTGTTTTATTCGGAGAGCTGTATATTATTTACAGAGGGATATTTTTAATTTAGTTTATTTTTTTGTCTAAATGTACAAGTTTATGAAGAACGTATAAGTTTATATACATACTTATACACTTGGCTACTTTTTAAAAAATAATACTTAAGAAGAAAAACATTTGGCTTTAACTTATCGCATCATAAGTTGAAATTTATTATTGTCTTCTTTCTACCACGCTTTACATAAAAAAAAGTAGGGAAACTTAAAGGATATTTTTAATTTAGTTTTTTTTTTGTCTGAATGTACAAGTTTATGAAGAACGTGTAAGGTTATATACTTATACACTTGCCAACTTTTTAAAAAATAATACTTAAGAAGAACTTATCGCATCATAAGCTGAAATTTATTATTGTCTTCTTTCTACCACGCTTTACATGAAAAGAAGTAGGGAAACTTAAAGGATATTTTTAATTTAGTTTATTTTTTTGTCTGAATGTACAAGTTTATGAAGAACACATAAGATTATATACTTATACACTTGCCAACTTTTTAAAAAATAATACTTAAGAAGAAAAACATTTGGCTTTAACTTATCGCATCATAAACTGAAATTTATTATTGTCTTCTTTCTACCACGCCTTACATAAAAAGAAGTAGGGAAACTTAAAGGATATTTTTAATTTAGTTAATTTTTTTGTCTAAATGTACAAGTTTATGAAGAACGTATAAGTTTATATACATACTTATACACTTGCCTGCTCTTTAAGAAATAACACTCAAGAAGAAAAACATTTGACTTTTAACTCATCGCATCATAAACTGATATGTATTATTGTCTTCTCTCTACCACGAAGTAGACAAACTTAATATTTACTCCAGCGAATTTAAAAAAACAAACCTATCTAGGAACACATTATCATATTGCGTAAAAACTGTATAGCGTTTAGAAAGAAAACGAATTGCGGATTTAAAATCAGCGGGCTAAAATTTGCTCTAAAATTCGCTCAAAAATCTCATTCAACAGAAGAAAAAAAATTGTGTCCCAGTGTAATTGAGTGTTCCTCAAAAAATAATATGCATAGCAAGACAGAAAATTACGTGAGGTGTCAAGTTTTTCAATTTCAAACAAACTCACCACATCGACTGGAACTTTCCTTCCTGTCAAATGGAACAAGTAATGTGGTTTCTTCAGATCGACTGGATCCTTGAAGTTCTTTTGGAACTCGAATTGATACATCAAAGAGTCATGAGTCACCACATCACTACCCATTTCAAGTGGAGTGGTAACTTCTTTTTCGTCGATGAGTGTCAAGAAGCGACTGTAACAATTTTTTATTCAATATAAGCAATGAATCTAAGCCGGAAAGCTTTAAGTTTCAAACCATTAATAAGAATTTCAAATAATATTAATTTCGATATGCTGTACTTTCGTTTTAATAGTTCGTCTTACTTTTTGATTAAAGTGTAAGCAAGTTGATTGAGGGGCTTTATAAAGAATAGACTTACACATTTTTAAAATGACCCTAGAGAAATTAAAAAAGACATCATTTGGATATGAATTTACGATACAAGAAATGGTTGATGTGTATTTTCCTCGTCTTGAGTTGATCTTAATGACCTTTGTCCATAACCAAAAATACATCTAAAAATAATAATTTTGGAGTATTCTGTTTTTGAATCAGGGCCTACTGTTTGTAGCTTTTTGTCTTGCTTTTTTACTTTAAAATGCAAGAAATCACGCAAAATATTTCATTCTTATCCAACCTAATTACCGATACCAATTTTCTTGCAAATGTACAGCCAAATTTCTTGATTAATCTAAGACTATACATAATTCTACGATGTAACCCAAACGTTTTTTGATTGCTTGATCATTGAATACTAAATTTTTTTAAGCTTTAAGGGAGGAAAAAATTCACGAAAATTAGAAAAATGTGAGTGGGTTACTGAAAAGCAATCACAGTAATTTTATTACCAATAAATGAATCACATTCCTTAATGACTAATTTTAAATTTTTATAAAAATACGATATAAACTTTTTCTAAATTTCTTGGCTTGATTAAAAATTTTTGTTAATAATAATTTTTATTCTTTTTTTTTACAAATAGAATTCCTTGTATATACTGTGCAAATTTCAAAAAGCAACCCGTTATTTTTTATTTTATTTTACACATATCAAATGTATTATAAAAACCATGAAGGCATAATCACTTAGTATAAGTAGCGTAGTTATTATAAGTGTTAGTATAAGTAGAAGGCATGATCACTTAGTATCAAGTAGTATAAGTACTCACTTAGTATAAGTAGCAACTGTTTGACCGTGGACAGGGTAGGGCGAATAGGCTACTTCTCCAACTGTCATAATTTTCTCAATGACGTAATGATGACGATATCCACGGATGTCATAATGATATTGAGCATTACCGTGTAGTGTGTGCTGAAATATTTACAAATTCAAAATTAGGTAACTACCTTCAAACAGCAGTAATAAGATAACTAAAGTTAATTAGCAAGTTCGCCAATTGTATTCTAACAGATTGAATTGCAATTTTGTTAAGAATTAGTATCAATTTATATTTGTGTACATAAATTTTTGAGTTATTTTAGATATTCTAAAGTGGCTTTCGCACATATTGTTAAAAGATAATTGTTAGATGTTTATCAATGTAAGAATAATTGATATCAGATAATGTTGTTGTTTCTAATTACCCTCAGACAAGTCAAATTCGCCAACGTTTAGCTTTTTTGTGAGTTAAGTGAAGAAAGTGCGCCTTTCGTTTGATAAGAGAGTACCGCATAGGTGAGGTCTTTGCTCAGAACCTCGGGGATAGTTGGTAGCACTATCGTGAAGTTCGTAAAACAACTTGTTTAATTTCGACATAGATATGAAGGTGGTGAAAAAAAAATTCAGATCCCCATACGCAAGGTACTGCTACGCAACAGACTACAGCACTTTCAATTTTACAGATTTTACGAGCACATATATCACATATACTCAATGGGTCTTAGCGGAGACGAGGATCGAACTCTGGACCGGAGTCCGATTCTCTAAGCACTCAGCTATCGTGGTCCGATATCAGATAAATATTATTCTAATTCCAGTGAATTATCAATTCCATATCAGGATAAGATGGATAAAATATAATTCTTTAGCGAAAATAAAATTTTTAGGCATACTTTTAACAATATATACAAAGTCCATAATGATTTTGAGCATTATCATGTAAACTCTTCTGAGTTCTAAATCTAATTAATATCATTCAAATAATTAAACAGTAACTGTGAAATAAAAACTAGGTGTTTCATACGTAGTTGTAATGCATTTAACTTTTGCTTTGGGTAGTTCATGTAAAAGTTTTGTTTTGTATGTATATGTTTCCTGCAAGTGTTTATTGATAAATATATTATATTATAACTTAGGAGAACTTTTTCGTTAGATAACTTAGAGAAACCTTACCGCTTTCTCATGATCAGCTGCACCACATTCATGACCATAAAATGTCGAATAGACTTGATTTGGAGCTGAATTGCACTTGTGATAGTTGCGGACTTTAGTGACGTTTAGGACGATATTGTTGTATGGAGTTCTGTAATGAGGATGATGTTCGATGCCATAAGCTGTTTCGCAGTCTCCCAGCATGCCTTGCTGCAAGGAATATGAAAAATAATTAAAATTGACTGCATTTTGTAACAAGTAGACTTTCAGAAAATATATATTTCTTTTGATTCCAATGTTATTGAATTATTTATGTAAAGAAAAACAATTTTGAGGGGACAGAAAATCGTTAAGAAATAATTTCTGGTAGACAAACTTCGACGGGTTTAAAAAAATTAAATCTCTATTTATTATATATTTCGAGAGCAATACTTCGTCCCTGAGTGATTATATCCAAGCGGGTTTTTGTTCTTGGACATTATATTCCTGCTAAAAGATTTTGTTTCTCAGGAGATAATGTACACATGAGATTTCATTCCCGAAAAATCATGTTTCATGGAAATTGTAACAACGCGAGCTTTCTCGCATGATTTTGTCTTCGGGAAATTATGTTCATGCAAGATTTTATTCCAATTAGATTATATTCGAAGGAGGTTTTGTCATCAAATATAATTGGTAATGCTCTCAAACTAATAAATAAGGCAAATTTATATATATATNAATGATTAAGTGTGGAAAAGAATATCAAAATCTATCAAATTATTATTGGGCTAAATCACAATGAAGCAGATTTAAAAGAATCAAATCCAAATTAATTAAAATTATATTATCAATATATAAAAACCGATAATTAGAAACGTTTCTCAGTTTTAAACATCTAGCACTCAAATTGGTTTTGTTGTTGTGAATTTTGGTTCAATATGACCGTACCCATTTAACTTTTGTAAGATATTGATAACATTTTTATTACTGTGTTTTTACACTTATATATTTATTTACGACGTTTTTTAGCATAAGACTTTAAATATTTTATAAAATAATATTTAAGGCAGTAATTACAGAAATTCCTGATATTTTAAGCATATTTGTCGTATCTTAGTGTTTGCAGAATTTGAAAAAATATTTAGGCAAAGAAAAATTAAAATCATAATTTATTAGTCAGTCTACCTATTTCCCCAATGCCCACCTGGGGAACGACCTTTCGTCAATACAGGTATCTGAAGGGCAGATTTGCTGGCCACTCTTTCAGGGACACCATATTAGGTGAGCCAACGTTGCTCCCACAGTAAGGACAGATAGTACACAGAATGAAAGAATAGCCATGCCTTGCCCGGGATTCGAACCCAGGACCTTTCTGATGCAAGGGCAGTTCCCTAACCCCTACACAGGCTGGTAGGTCTGTCAAAATTGTAATATTTTTTTATTTTATTTTCCAGAAATAACATATTGTTAAGTTATATAGATTATATAATATTCATAAGAAAACATACTCCAGAAAAAGTGGTTAAAACATAAGTTGCATTCAATATATTGATCTGAATTATTTTTTAGAAATTGACCCAATTATTGATAAGCAGAAGTAAATTGAAGTAATAAACCAAGTTTGTGTTGTATTTGCGTTAATCGTTTACAGCAATTTGTGTTTAACCGTGTTTATCAACAAAGCTACCGTACAGAAAAGCTTCCAGATGTTTTACAAATAACTTCAAAACGCACTGCTAGATAATAAATTTACTAAACATATTAGACTCGAGTGTCTTCATTTCAGGAGTGATCAAATTTATTAAACATTATCACACTTAAAAGAGTAAGTAGTGGTAGTATTACTATTTACATTTGTAACTGCTTTTGCTCAACACACTGAGAAAAAAAAATTTATGATCAAAACTACCAGAAAATGGAAACATTTACCGTGTTTCTGGCTGTACTGAAACACCAAGAAGTTTGGTAGTTTTTACTGATGTGCTATAGTAATGATTTCGGTAAAATTAGCAGTAAAATATGGTTTTGCAATGTGTGATAAAACTTGGTAAATTTGGTGAAAGTTTGTAATGTTATCTTGGTAACTTAGAGCACAGCATAAAAACCGTTTAAATTTACTCTTTTGTAGTGATTTTTAAAATGTGTGGCAATAGGAAATTTATTCTTCAAAATTTCCGACCAACCGTTATCATATGAATGAAAAAATTGCAGAATGAGTAGTTTAAATACCATATATTTTTGCTTATAGTTCACATTCTTTATTTTACCTGAAACGTCATTACCATATAATACGGTAATTTTACCAGAATTTCTTTTCTCCCCTCTCAAAACATTTGTGTTATAATTTACAAACTAGAGAAATTTTTAATTATTTTTCTTTTCTTTTTGTACTTATAAATGATAGCTTCTAGAAAAAAATACTCATTTACTTTAAGCGCAAACGTGTAAATCTTTTTCAATAAGAACTTACAACTGCCCAGTGTTATAATTTGGGTGTTAATTTAAAATCTAAATTGAAGACACCAAATTATAAGCTCGTTTTTCAAGTGCTTGGTTGAAAGAATAGGATCTGGGGGGGGAGTGTATGAATACCTGTTAACAATTATGATCAAGTTTAAAAAATAAATACACAAGTGGGCGACCTTTGTGCTAAAATACAAACTAAGGTAACCAACGTTAAAGAGCACAAAAATATTGTTAAAAGCAGACAGCTGTTTCGGATGCTCAAAGGGCAACCTTCATCAGTGCAACAGAAAGAAATAAGAGAAAAATGTCTTTTCTCTCTCATTTCTTTTTATTGCACTGATGAAGGTTGCCCTTTGAGCATCCGAAACAGCTGTCTGCTTTTAATAATATTTTTGTGTTCTTTAACGTTGTTTACCTTAGTTTGTATGATCAAGTTTATTTTTGTGACTGCAAGCTTCTACAAATCGGCATTGAGACAATAATGCAAGCTAAAAAAATCAGTATTTTGTAATAAATGATTAAGATTATTAAATTAAAGGTTGCTTACTTCATAAACTTTAAAATAATGTGCATCTGGATCAGATCGCTGAATGTCATTGTCTTCAAAAGTAGGAGTCGTTTCAGGAGCTTCAAGGTTGAGATTGAAAAGACTGGCAAGACCCCTCTTCAAGTTGACTGAAAACATGGGTTCTCCTGCTTCAACCTCGAAATGAGTGACCTGTCAATGACGTAAATATTTAAGATAAACGGAAAGAATTGTCACTAAGGTGTTCGACATTAAAATCGTATTGTGGTCGCCCTTAAGTACAACACAATAATTTGTTCTGTATCTGTACTTCAAGACAGGGTCATATAAGTATGTAGTACAGAACCTAAATGTCTTTTTTTTTCTCTTTTCTCCAAGCTTTGGTCATGTGCCTAGGTCATTATGAACCCTTTGCCATATAGCCCAAAGCTTGGCTACTGGTCCGGCTCTACACCAGCCTAGGAACGAGCCCAGTCAGCAAGAATTTATTCAGAACCTAAATGTCTAAAAAGAAACCTTTGCCTGAAAAATCTTTTTAATCTTTAAAACGTACGATTTTACTAGAAATTATATATTTTTTTTAAATTGTCGCTTTTTTTTTAAATATAATCTGAAGTTGATTTTTTCAAATTCAAAGAAGCATCACTTAACTTGTTTTAAATAGGAAAAAAATAATGCTGAAACCATTGTTAGCTTAAAGTTTTTTTGAAAATTATTTTAAAGCTGATTTTCCTAAATTTAGTAAAAAAAAATGTTTTGATAGGAATTTTTTTTTCGTAACAACTTTTTATTTATTAAACTATCAGAGAATAAGTAATCCTAAGAAACTAAAGCGATAAGATATTACCCGATTAAAAACTTCATTCACAAATAGCGACAGTCGTATTTTCTATTTGTATATTTTTGAAGGGAATGACTAAAAATATGTTGCTTTTATAAAAAAAAAAAATTGAATAAAAATTTGTCTCTTGATAACTTTTAAATAGAAAAAGAGCTTTTTAAAAATAACCTGTTTTTTTTAATTGTCTAAAGCAGATTTTTATAAATTTATATTAAAAAAAAAGCAACTTAACATGGTGTTACCAGAAAGAAATTTTTTTAAACATCCTGTTTTTTCTTAACTTTAATAAGAGCGACTTTTTATTGGTAAAATCAATCGGCAATCATTACATAAGTTTTACGTAATAAAGCAAAGATATTACCATTGAGAGTTTTGGTAGAAGAAAGCTTCCGTATATTTCACGTAATATTAACAGAATGTAGTTAACCAACTCCCCAACGGTAAGATTGCTTTCGTATATTTTATCTATTAGTGACGAAGCAAATTTATCATTTAAAGAAAGTTTTGTACATTTTACGCAAAAATGCCGATGGATATTTTACCATTTAAATTTTGGTAAAAAGCTTCTTTATATTGTACGTATTATTTGACAAAATAAATTCACCATTTTATTTTCGTAAGAATATTTTTGTATGTCTTACGTAATATTGACGAAGTTAATATACTGTTTAGATTTAATAAAAATGCTTCAGTGTATTTTACGTTTTATTGACGTAGCAAATTAACCATTAAAATAGTATGTAGAAATAACGTATTCATTCTTACATAGTATAAAGTGGTTGATAAAATATTTGCAAAATAAACACATTTATTTACGGATAATTTTATGTGAATTTTACATAATTTGGATATCCATTTTTTGCTATAACACGAAGTTTCAGTTTTACGTAAATTTTACGAATGCTTAGTAAAATTTAAAGGTAAAATATGCATATTTTTGAAGCAAAATTGATGGTTTTCTACTACATGAGTTATTTACATTAGTTGAAATAGTTACATTAGTTGAAATTTAAAAATAATTATACGTACGATTCCATTCTTTCTGTAGACTTTGAAAGGATTGGATAAAAATGCGGCGTGACTTGGCATAGGCCCATACGCATGTGGATGCTTGAAGACGTTTTCAAATTCACCATTGAATTGAGCTTTTTGAGTGTCGTCTACCTGAAAATCAAAGTCAAAAGTCAATAATTTCAGAAAATTTTACTAACCTTCAATCTAAAAATTAGTTAATGGAATGTTCTATAAAATGCTTTTTCGTGCTTCCGTATACTTATGGAATGAAAGGAGTTTAAAAAATTAGTTATTCTAAAAGTATATTTTTTTAAAAATGAAAAATAACTTTTTCAAATATTTCATTTCTTATAAAATTACACAATTTTTTTCCCTCCTCCATGGAATTTTTTAATGGATCTAGACATCATGGATTTCCACGTCACTGATTTCAAATCTGTAATCAGTTTCTCCCTCCTACATGCAGTATTTTTAATGACATTTTTAGTCTGTCTGTTCAGAAGCACGCAAAGAAACAGTTTATAACAGGGAAGCACTCCTAGCGGCGTATGATGATATTTTCGGGCATGGGTTCCTATCCAATTATAATCCTGATGATGTGCACTAACTGCCCTAGAAGTTTTTCGCAATATTTAATCGACACCCTGTTATATATAATGTTTTTAAACTTGTGAATTTCGAGAAATTATAAACTAAAAATTTAATAGTAGAAAAAAAAATTGAAGCTTGGGGAGAAAATCTGCATTAAACAAGTTCAATATTTGTATAAATGTTTCAAATTTTTAGTCGGAAAAAATTGATTTTTAGTGTTATCTATCTTCAAGAATTGTAATATTTCTCATAATTAAATAGTTATAATATTACTTATATTTTAATATCTATAACAACAACCATGTATTATAGTTAAAATGTGATGATTATGCCTAATGCCTTATGATACCCTTGATATGATTATGATTTTAAATAAGGGTCTTATAAATATTTATTATAATTATCTTGTGGTTGAAACAAACGAAAGCAAAGAAAACAAACTAAAATTATCCAATAGGCTATAGATAATACTTAACGAATTGCAATAGGCTATAGATAATACTTAAATACCGTGTGAATAAAAATTGTCACTCTGCTGCCTGTCACGTCATTGCCAAGATGATGTAGGTAGAATAGGTGACTTTGAGACACCAAATTTAATTACAAAGAGTATAAAACATTGCTCGTCGATTCAATCTTTACTTGAAGGCTGCGGTGAATCAGAAGAATGAAGTGATCCTGGTACACAGCAACGAAAGTGCTAACTTAAATATCCTCAGTAGCAAACTAATCAAGGGTTAGAGACCCCTCCCCGTCAAGCTAACCATGGGAGGGTTTCGTAGTTTACCTCTCCTTGTAACGCAAACTCAAATGCGGGTTAGTTCCATTAAAAATGTATTGCACGAAGGTAAATTTTCTCCCAATATTTGATCCAGGAGTTTCTCTCTTCTGGGTTGAGTTCAAAATTAACTAGGCCATGGAGTTGAGTATTGATAGTCGTAAACTCAAAAATTGGATTGACTGTTCAACGACAGTTATACATATATATACATAAACAGTTTANGCCTTCGTTATAAAACTAATTTCCCCCGGGAAATTAACAGCAAGTGTATGTTTGTTACCACTCTACATACGTTTCTGAGACGAATCTTTTTTTTCCTTACTTTTTCTCTTCGTTTTACTTTGCTTTTTGACAATATTCCTTTTTGACGTTGTACAAACTACTGAAGTGCTTAATTTTTGTACCCTTCACTGTTTTTCTTTTCTTTTTTTTTTATCTCGCAAGTCTGTCTACATCTATTATCCAACATTTTCCTGGAATAGCCGTATGCTTATGAAATCTTTTCTCTTGTCGCGGAGGGACCAAGCTGGAAGTTGTACCCTAAGTTTTGCCTTATGTTAAGCTCAGTTGGGAGAGGCATTCGAACAGGTGGTAGGAGGTTTCGGAGGATGTGCTTAATCTATAAAAATAAAAGATGCTTCCATTTACATATATATATACATACATACATATTTTTATATATATATGGATTGATAGATAGATAGATATTACATTAATGACAAATTAACTAACTATTAATTAAGCGAAATTGCGCAAAAAAACGATAAATATTCACTGTTCAATTCGGAAATCAAGCTTCAATATGAGCCAATTATCAAAATAAAATTTGATCATTAGAATATTCCGCTGATAATATCCCTTATCCGAAGCAAAACGTTAATAAGTGTGGAAAGAAATTCAATTTCTTAAGCAATGTATTCGCTAAATAGTGTAATTATAAAATCGCGTTTTTATTTTAAGTTCTCAATTTTGTTTTAGAAAAAAATAAACGCTTCAATATCATTAATTATTATTCATCATGTGGATAATAAGCTGTTCTACTATTGAAGTTTAAAAGTTACTCTAAGTTTAAGAGCTAATTGTAGCTGTTTTCAGAAACTGAATGATTTAACATCAAGGCACGAAACCTTTTAGAGAGTAGTACTTAAAAACAATTTTTTTTCAATCTATCAATTAATATCAGCACTTATATCTTCGTAAGTTCAAGGATCTTTGAAGAAAGCAAGAAACGATAAGCTGACTTGTGTGTGTTATCTTATATCTTATCATAGAATTATGATATGTGTCTAAAGAAGAACAGTTTAATCTAGGAACTAAGTAAAATAATTTGTTAAGGACTAGATCTTTTGAAGATAACGAAATGGTTTACACGCGCGGAAATATTGTAAAATTATTAAAAATAAAATTTGTCCTCGATTTATTTATGTAATAAAAAATGAATAAATATTAAAATAAAAACTGAATGTTAATTAACTAGTACTGTAACCATTACTAGTTTTAAATTCGTAGATATATCAGGACATATAACTTCAAGTAATTTATAAAATAATTCCGAGCTTCGTTGGTATATATTTACTAATTATAATGTTACCTATATATTTCATCCAAATTATTTATCATTACAATCAAACATAAATAATGATAAAATTAACGTTAAAAATGGATTTCGGTGCGTATGAATTTAATATTTATAGCAAATATTGTGCTAAAAATCTATAATATTGTATTCTCTAATTATATCTTTTAATATTACTGATATACATAATCACAAAATAATAAAATAACAGACATAAACCATAACCCTTCAAATATTATTTCTAACACAATTTGTAGCCTTATCTCTCTCGTAACTTACAAATTTTGCTTTCTGTTCTATTTTGAACCCTACCCAGAAGACAAGAGAACTTCTCGATCAAGCTTTGGGACAAACTAGCCTTCGTAGAGGACTTTTTGGTGGAACTAACCCACATTTGCATTACAAAGCGAGGGAAACCTCGAAAACCTTTCACTTTTAGTCCGACGCCACGGGAATTCTAATCCGTGATTTGTCTACCACGGAGTATATTTTATTTTAGCTCGGTAATTAGTGTTGGCCACGAGCAGAATTCGTTTCAACCAGCCACAGCTAAGATTCGAACTTGGGTTACCACACCTGTACTACAGAATTAAACATTGATAGTCGTTAACTCAGAATTGGGTCAGCGCCTGTTATAAAATATAGAACTAAAATATTTTCATAACTTGATTGTTCTTTTTTTATCGTATAATTTTTAATTTACTAAAAAATCATTGCATGGTACTTAACAATAACACTGCTTTTCATTGTAATTAACTTTGTAGTTAAAATTTCTCTTAGCAGAATTAGTTAATATCGTAGCTAACTTTGTCCTTATTTAATATTTTCATTAACATTATCATTACTAAATATGATAGTTAGTTAAAATTGTGTAAAATGAAACATTGTATACAATAGATAAATTACTTTACCTTGAAAGATTGTGTAAAATGAAACATTTTATTTTATTTTATGACCGCCATTGAACAGTCGACCCAATTTTTGGGTTTACGACTACAAATGTTCAACGCCGTAGCCCTGTCATTTTGAACCAATCCAGAAGACAAGGAAACTCCTGGAAATGAAACATTGTATGCAATAGATAAATTACTTTACCTTGATCACCGCATAATCTTCATGGGGTTGTACAATCACCTTCGCATGAAAGGCATAACCGCTGTATTGTGGCTTAATTCTAGGATATCCCGAGTATATCTGTCCCTTGTAAGCATAAATGTATTCTCTGCCATTGACGTATCCTGTAGAAAATTTAAGAACTCATTATGAATCAACAAGTACAATTTAAACCTATGCTAAATAGTGTATAATTTATTATGAAAAATAATTAAAATAATTAAACGCTTACCAGATGCAGAAGCGGTTGCTGAAAAATATAAAAAATATAAATATTAAGGTCAATGTAGTATATAGTAATAAAGCCAATAATATTAAAATATTGAACAATAATGTATGTAAAGTATTATATCGATTAATAATTTTGATTTATTGTAGGGAACACTCTAACTTAAAGTGAAGAAAATAATAATAATTTTAGTAACAGCGAATATTTTTCTATCTAAATGTGTAATTCATCTACTAAATTGCGATCTCTTTTGNATAAATGTATTCTCTGCCATTGACGTATCCTGTAGAAAATTTAAGAACTTACTATGAATCAACAAATACAATTTAAGCCTATGAAAAATAGTGTATAATTCATTATGAAAAATAATTAAAATAATTAAACGCTTACCAGATGCTGAAGCGGTTGCTGAAAAATATAAAAAATATAAATATTAAGGTCAATGTAGTATATATAGTAATAAAGCCAATAATATTAAAATATTGAACAATAATATATGTAAAGTATTATATTGATTAATAATTTTGATATATTGTAGGGAACACTGTAACTTAAAGTGAAGAAAATAATAATAATTTAAGTAATAGGGAATATTTTTCTATCTAAATGTGCAATTCATCTACTGAATTGCGATTTCTTTTGTTGAGATTAACTTCTTTAAATGACATAAGCTTTGGAGAATTTTAATTGCAAGTTACTTACAATTGTGATTGATATTAAATATTTTGTCAAAAACAATATTAACTAAGCTTAATTTTTTTTTCAAAATTAAATTCAGCATATTTAAAAATATCAAATGAATATATCAAATTTTAAAAGTCAATGAATAACTTGAAAGATCAATACTCTAAATAATGCTTTTACATATTGAACATTTTTCTAATCAAAAACATATATCAAAATATATATATTTATTTTTATATATGTGTGCCTTATTTAAAACACAAAATCATGAGTATGTATTTCTTTAAGTTGTTAATGCGTCTAAGCTTTGGATAGATTCAGATATCATCCTTCTTAAAAATGAATATGAAGAAATAAATAAATAGCTTTAAAATAAAAGAGAAAAAATTTCACAAAAAAAAACTATTTTAACTGGTAACTTACATGTACTTATAAAATTTTCTACTCTTTAATTTAACATCGATAAAATGCACTAACTGCTAAAATTTTATGAATCCTTAGATGTTTTTAAATCTTGAATAGGTAGAATAAAAAAAATAGAATGATCTACGTAAAACATTAGAATGATATTGTGTAAACATTAACAACGTCACGATGATTTTAAATTTGCAAAATATACTTAAATAGATTTTATTTTAAATAGAAATAGATTTCAGTTGCAAAGTATCCAATAGAATTATAAAAACATTGATGGTTATTTTGTAGTCGAAATCAAATTTAAACTTCTCTTCTCGGTAAATTTGATTTGGCACTTATTAAATAGTGTCATGACTTACATATTTTATGTTTTAATTTTTAAAAAAAATTCAAATAGATTTTGTTTTTATGTCGTATTTTACATCGTCCAGCATCTTTTCATTGTTTTTAACTTTAATATGAATTCAGATTCTGTCATGTGTGTTTGGAAACGAAGTTTAAACTCCAACTAATGCCCACATAAACATTTCACAGTTCTTCGGCTTCAACAGCATCATGAACTAAATCCAAGAATCTAATCAAATTACTTTTCTTCGTATTATTATGAAATCAAAAATGCCATAGTCATGAACTGCTATGACATAGTGGCTAGTTATGGGGGCTCATTACGGTAGCTAGTATCTATTATTTTTATAATTTTACTTTATAATTATTGGACATTTTTTGTTTAAAAACATCCTATTTGTTAAAATTATCTTTTAAGTCATATCTTTTTCTTCAATAGATTGACACTTGAACGAACCTTAGCCTTCTCAATTAATTTACCTCAGGCTAGTGTTTGCAACAGCTCACCAGTTTTTGGTCTTTAAAGCGGCTCGGTTAATTTCCAAACAGTGTACCCATATATGCGGGGGTCTGCCTCAAGTGCAAGTTCAAAAAAACATTCCTACGGCAGCTCTTTTCAGGCCAGGGGGTTATAAAACTGAAGGTTCCAAACTTTTGTGAGCTGCGGCATGATTGTGCCAATGTGGCCAGCATAGCATACAAACTACCTTTATCTTTCCAGATATGCTATTACTCATCAAAAAAGGCTGGATGAACTTTGAGCCGCCTCTGAGGATCAAACCCCTAACCTTCACAATGACAATTGAGTACCTTTAACTGAGACATCACGACTCTGAATAGCCATTTGCTTAACTAAAATAATTGTTTTTTAATACTGTCCTCCTGCAGGTACTACATATTTAACCAGATTTTGCTAAACATTTCCAGAGTAGTAAGTTAGTATTTCCTTTAATCAAGTTTAATGTAAAGTATTGCCTTATTACAAAATAATATCGATTGATTTAACATCATATATTGCATCGTAATTTAGTTTCTGCATACTGTCTACGTTTGGTATTGAATGATGCTTTATGTTTTTACCATGCAACGAAATATAAACATCGTTATAATCTACTTAAATGAAAAAATTAATGCATGAAATATTTTGCTGCAAAGTTTGACAAACAATAATAATTTAAAAGGTTAATTTTTGCAGTTTTTATCTTGGTAACTATTCAATCCCCTTTTCTACCTGGATTTTGTCATAAATAATTGTCTGGACCGACATGAATGGTAAATCCGTTATTTGTCTAATTTTACTAGCATAAACAAATACAAGGATTTCAGAAATTTGTATTTTTAAATAAATCTCATTCTGGAAAAATGAAAGCTGAATGGTCTATTTTAAAATTTTTACAATGAAATTTGAAAATAATTTTTTCGAAACAAATTCTTTCGAATTATTTCTAGCTCACTTACTAATTTTTAAAGCGTAATTTTTATTTATTCATTTTTTTATTTAAAGCATTCATTCAAAAAGATGATCCCCACTCCATACAATTTATCTACGATAAAATTGAGCAAATATCAGTTCAGCACCATTGAATAATTCATTTTGAGCGTGTTTCGATGACAAGAGAACTGCTAAGTTATATAATCCCAGCTAAAAATAAACTGCAGTTAATCTACAGAAAAACTGCAGTTTGAAGACTGTGGTGATTTGGCCCATAGCACTGCAGACTTTTTGAAGTCAAAACACTNAAATTTGAAAATAATTTTTTAGAAACAAATTCTTTCGAATTATTTCTAGCTCACTTACTAATTTTTAAAGCATAATTTTTATTTATTCATTTTTTTATTTAAAGCATTCATTCAAAAAGATGATCCCCACTCCATACAATTTATCTACGATAAAATTGAGCAAATATCAGTTCAGCACCGTTGAATAATTCATTTTGAACGTGTTTCGAAGACAAGAGAACTGCTAAGTTATATAATTTCCCTGCCTGTTTTTAATTTTCCAAATATAAAAGTTTAATATACACAGTTTGTTTATATAAAGCTGCAATCAGCTGATTTTTTTGGATAAATTAAAAATGAGTGTTACGGGAAAGTTTTATTTTTCTAAGCCTAAAAGTTTTGTGAAATATCCGTTTTTAGCTTTTCCCGTTTTTATTTTAATTAACATAAATTGCCTTTAATTCACTCTAAATGAACGGCTTAGGGTTTTGTGAGTAAATAATAGTGACCTCTTGTTATACATTAAGTTGATAAAAAATATTGCAGAATATAAAAAAGCAAACTAAACTATTACATATCATATTTAGGTTAAGTAATCAAACTAATCAATACTAACCTGCCAAAGCAGCGAGCGTGAACACAAGCCCAAACATCCTGCGCTCAACTCAATTTTTTTTACCCAATCGACCATCTTTTATACAAAGTTCTATCATGAACTTATCAACCATGAACCTGAACTCCCTCAATCTCAAGATAGGGGGTCAAAGATCATAAACACTAGAAGATAGCAGGACACGAGCCTATGCTTATCAAAGTTAAAAATAATATGCTCATATAAGTGTATGGGGAATTATTTGACATAAACTGACAACACCCTCTAGAAAGTACTACTGCATTATTCTACATTTACTGATTATGTAATTAGCATCTTAAGTGTTCTAAATACCTCTAAACAATTTTGTTGCGCTAAAATTCCATTAATTTTATCGGGGTAAATATCTTTGTAGAGTTGTTTTGTTACGACAGAAATAAATTCTCGGGGGTCATATGAAATGAATATTCATTAAAAGAATCTTCCAGATTGAATAAATGAGTTCATTAGAAACATCGTAATTTTGTTTTTCTTCAGAGTTATCTGATTTTCAATTTTTTTCGAACTATTTAACGAAATTTGTAGAGAGATATCACAAAAGAATCTTTTAGTTACAGCAATATTTCATTTTCTTTCTGTATTTCTGATGAATTCTGTCTGGTGATTTTTTGTAATGACCCATTGAAAAATCAAATGGGTGTATAAACAAAAGCATGATCAATGTTTCCGTAAACGCGTATGTTGCTCGCTCTTTATTTGAAGAAAAAAATCATGGTCTATTCTTTTTTTATGGTTATGTAATTAGCATCTTAAGTGTTCTAAATACTTCTAAACAATTTAGTTTCACTAAAATCCTATTTTATTGGAGTAAATATCTTTTTAGAATTGTTGCGTTACGACAGAAATAAATTCTCGTGGGTCTTTCGAATATTCATTAAGAGAACCTCCAGATGGAATGAATGAGTTTACTACAAACATCATAATTTTATTTTTCTTCTGAGTTATCTGATTTTTAATTTTTTTTCTACTTCATAACGAAATGTTTGCACATATCTCAAAAAAATCTTTTAGTTTCAGCAATATTTCATTTTTTGTAATTCTGATGAATCTGAAAAATCAAATGGGTGTACAAACAAAAACATGGCCAATGTTGCTGTAAACGTGCATGTTGTTCGTTCTTTATTTTAAAAAAAATAATCATGGTCTATTGTTTTTTTATGATTATGTAATTAGCATCTTAAGTGTTCTAAGTAACTCTACACAATTTTGTTACTCCAAAATTCCATTTTATCGAAGTAAATATCTTTGTAGTGTTTCTTTGTTACGACAGAAATAAATTCTCCTGGGTCTTATGAATATTCATTAAAAAAACCTTCCAGTTAGAATGAATGAGTTTACTAGAAACATCGTAATTTTGTTTTTCTTCAGAGTTATCTGATTTTTAATTTTTTTTCTACTTCATAACGAAATTTTTGCGCAATATCTCAAAAAAATCTTTTAGTTTCAGCAATTTTTCATTTTTTGTAATTCTGATGAATTTGAAAAATCAAATGGGTGTACAAACAAAAACATGGTCAATGTTGCCGTAAACGTGCATGTTGTTCGTTCTTTATTTTAAAAAAAATAATCATGGTCTATTATTTTTTTATGATTATGTAATTAGCATCTTAAGTGTTCTAAGTACCTCTACACAATTTTGTTACTCCAAAATTCCATTTTATCGAAGTAAATATCTTTGTAGTGTTTTTTTGTTACGACAGAAATAAATTCTCCTGGGTCTTATGAATATTCATTAAAAGAACCTTCCAGTTAGAATGAATGAGTTTACTAGAAACATCGTAATTTTGTTTTTCTGCAGAGTTATCTGATTTTTAATTTTTTTTCTACTTCATAACGAAATTTTTGCGCACTATCTCAAAAAAATGTTTTAGTTACAGCAATATTTCATTTTTTGTAATTCTGATGAATTTTAAGAATCAAATCGGTGTACAAACAAAAACATGGTCAATGTTGCAGCAAACGTGTATGTTGTTCGTTCTTTATTTAAAGGAAAAAATCATGGTCTATTCTTTTTTGATGATTATGTAATTAGCCTCTTGAGTGTTCTAAATACCTCTACACAATTATGTTACACTGAAATTCTATTTCATCGGAGTAAATATCTTTTTAGAGTTGTTTTATTACGACAAAAATAAATTCTCATGGGTCTTTTTAATATTCATTATGAGAACCTTCCAGATGAAATGAATGAGTTTACGACAAAATTCGTAATTTTTCACCGTTATCTGATTTTCAATCATATATTTTCTTATACGATATTCGTAGCTTAATATCTTTAGATAAAGTCATTTTTTAAGAGTTGTATCATTTTTGTAATCTTGATCTATCTGATAGATAAAATTGATGTATAAACAAAAACCCAGTAAATGTTCCAGTAAACGTGTATTTTCTTCATTCATTACATAAAGAACAAAAACAATGGTTAACGTTTCCGTAAACAATTACTTTGTTCATTTATTTTTCAATGAAGAAAATTATGATCAAAAGTGTCGTAAATGTGTATTTTGTTCATTATTTACTTAAAGATTAAAAACATCGTCAATGTTCCCGCGAACGTGTCTTCTGCTTATTTATTATTTAAAAAACAAAAATGTGGCTAATGTGTATTTTGTTCATTTATTAAAGAACAAAATCATAGTCAATGTTCCCGCAAACGTGCACTTTGTTCATTGATTAAAGAACAAAATTATGGTCAATGTTCCCACAAACGTGCATTTTATTCATTGATTAAACAACAAAATCGCAGTCAATGTTCCCGCAAACGTACATTTTGTTCATTTATTAAAGAACAAAATCTTAGTCAATGTTCCCGCAAACGTGCATTTTGTTCATTGATTAAAGAACAAAATTATGGTCAATGTTCCCACAAACGTGCATTTTATTCATTGATTAAAGAACAAAATCATAGTCAATGTTCCCGCAAACGTGCATTTTGTTCATTGATTAAATTAAAGAACAAAATTATGGTCGATGTTCCCGTAAACATGTCTTTTGTTCGTTTATTATTTAAAGAACAAAAACATGGTTAATGTTCCCGCAAACGTGTATTTTGTCTATCCACTATCTTAAGAAAAAAAACATGGTTAATGATCCAGTGAACGTGTATTTTGTCTATCCACTATCTTAAGAAAAAAACATGGTTAATGATCCAGTGAACGTGTATTCGGTCTATCCACTATCTTAAGAAAAAAAACATGGTTAATGATCCAGTGAACGTGTATTTTGTCTACCCACTATCTTAAGAAANCTAAGCCTAAAAGTTTTGTGAAATATCCGTTTTTAGCTTTTCCCGTTTTTATTTTAATTAACATAAATTGCCTTTAATTCACTCTAAATGAACGGCTTAGGGTTTTGTGAGTAAATAATAGTGACCTCTTGTTATACATTAAGTTGATAAAAAATATTGCAGAATATAAAAAAGCAAACTAAACTATTACATATCATATTTAGGTTAAGTAATCAAACTAATCAATACTAACCTGCCAAAGCAGCGAGCGTGAACACAAGCCCAAACATCCTGCGCTCAACTCAATTTTTTTTACCCAATCGACCATCTTTTATACAAAGTTCTATCATGAACTTATCAACCATGAACCTGAACTCCCTCAATCTCAAGATAGGGGGTCAAAGATCATAAACACTAGAAGATAGCAGGACACGAGCCTATGCTTATCAAAGTTAAAAATAATATACTCATATAAGTGTATGGGGAATTATTTGACATAAACTGACAACACCCTCTAGAAAGTACTACTGCATTATTCTACTTTTACTGATTATGTAATTAGCATCTTAAGTGTTCTAAATACCTCTAAACAATTTTGCTGCGTTAAAATTCCATTTTATCGGGGTAAATATCTTTGTAGAGTTGTTTTGTTAAGACAGAAATAAATTCTCGTGGATCTTATGAAATGAATATTCATTAAAAGAACCTTCCAGATTGAATAAATGAGTTCATTAGAAACATCGTAATTCTGTTTTTCTCCAGGGTTATCTGATTTTCAATTTTTTTCCTACTATTTAACGAAATTTGTAGAGTTATATCTCAAAAAAACCTTTTAGTTACAGCAATATTTAATTTTTTTTTTTATTTCTGATGAATTCTGTCTAATGATTTTTTGTAATGAGCCATTGAAGAATCAAATGGCTGTATAAACAAAAACATGGTCAATATTTCCTTAAACGCGTATGTTGTTCGCTCTTTATTTAAAGAAGAAAATCACAGCCTATTATTTTTTGATGATTATGTAATTAGCATCTTAAGTGTTCTAAATACTTCTAAACAATTTTACACTAAAATTCTATTTTATTGGAGTAAATTCTTTATAGAGTTGTTGCGTTATGACAGAAATAAATTCTCGTGGTTCTTTTGAATATTCATTAAGAGAACCTTCCAGATGGAATGAATGAGTTTACTAGAAACATCATAATTTTGTTTTTCTTCAGAGTTGTCTGATTTTTTTTCCTACTTAGTAACGAAATTTTAGCACAATATCTCAAAAAAATCTTTTAGTTACAGCAATATTTCATTTTTTGTAATTCTGATGAATCTGAAGAATCAAATGGGTGTATAAACAAAAACATGGTCAATGTTGTGTATGTTGTTCGTTCTTTATTTAAAGAAAAAAATCATGGTCTATTCTTTTCTTAAGATTATGTAATTGGCATCTTAAGTGTTCTAAGTACTCTAAACAAATTAGTTACACTAAAATTCTATTTTATTGGAGTAAATATCTTTTTTGAGTTGTTTCGTTATGACAGAAATAAATTCTCGTGGGTCTTTTGAATATTCATTAAGAGAACCTTCCAGATGGAATGAATGAGTTTACTAGAACCATCATAATTTTTTTCTTCTTCAGAGTTATCTGATTTTTAATTTTTTTCTACTTCATAACGAAGTTTTAGCACAATATTTCGAAAAAATCTTTTAGTTACAGCAATATTTCATTTTTTGTAATTCTGATGAATTTGAAGAATCAAATGGATGTACAAACAAAAACGTGATTAATTTTGCCGTAAACGTGAATGTTGTTCGTTCTTTATTTAAAAAAAAAATCATGGTTCTTTTTTTATGATTATGTAATTAGCATCTTAAG